CGCCGAAGTTTTAAATTAAAGAGAAGGATAATATCACGATTTTAATAATCTTACGATTTTACTTACTTATATTATAACCTAATTAGACTTAACATATTAAGGCCTTTCGATCTTTCTATCTTACTGTGAAACTTATACTTATAATAATTCTATATAGATAGTATTCTCTTCATACTATAATATAGAGTTATTATATATATTATTAAGTCTCTAACATTATAATAGTCTCTCTTCTTCTTTATTTTAAAGTGATAGATCTAAAATATATTAAATAAATCTATTACGAAATATTTAATATTAAATATCTTAATAAGCTATTTAATAGCTTTATTAATCGCCTCGCTAATAATAATAAAAAGATTAAAAGACTTAAAAAACTACTTCGATACTTCGAGGTTTATAATTAAATTATATATTTCTTTATTTATAAAATAGTTATTTTATTTCTTTAAGAAGTCTTATTAAATTATCGCTACTATATTTCTAATTTATTAACTATCTATATCTTCTAATTAATATACTATTTCTATAAAATCTTCGTTTATAATAAAATTTAGCTTTATTAAGACGATATCTATATATAGCGAATATCTAATAATTATTTAGAAAATCGAATTTTAAGATAGCGACTCTCGTCGATTTAATCGAAAGCTTATCTATTATATAATTTATATTTAAATTAGACTTTACCCTAGATATATTATAATATTACTCTTATATCTTCTTATTAAAATACTTAAAACTCTTAATTATTTTACTATAATTAATTTAATTATAATAAATTATATAACTCTTAAGGCTATCGCTATCTATATATATATAATATATATAATTAATTATATTCTTTTATTAATTATATTAACGAAATCTCCGCTAATATTATCTTACTAGATATAAAGTTCTTTTCTACCCCTCGATTATAACTAATATCGAGAGATCTTAAGTCGATAATTAAATTATTTTTATATATACTTATCTCGCTAAGTAAGCCTCTATTAAAAAGATATAATCTATTAAAGAAAGATAATTAAAAGAAATAATTTAAGAATTATCTTAACTAGATATTTATTAATATCTTACTTATAATTATTACCCGCGATATTAAAATAAGCTATTAAGATCTTAATTAATTATTATTAAGTAAATTCTATCTAAATATTACTATAGTATTTAAAATATTATTTAAAGATTTTTAAAAGTAGAAGAATAATAACCGTCTAATAAGGTTAGATATAAAACTCTTAAAATACTTTATTTCGTCTTTATTAGACCTTATCTTAAAGTATAATAATAACTAAAGAAGAATTTATAATCTTTTTTTTCTACGATTATAATTCGTTAATTATTATATTTATAAGATTTACGAAGTACTCGAGTATATTATATTAAACGATATTATTAATATTCTACTTATTTAGAGTAAGAGTATAATTATAATTAAATAAGACCTCGTTAATATATTTAGATATATTTCTATAGTCGAATCGAACTTTTAATTATTAGATTTCTTTTGAAATAGCTTTTATTATATCGATAGATTCTTATTATTTAGCTTACGTATCGTATTCTTTATTTTTAATTTATTCGCTAAGACCCTTTATTAAATACTCGTTATTATTTTATTCTAAAGTATTATTTTTTACTATTTAGATAATTTCTTCGCTATTCTTTCGTTTAATAGCGATATAGTTTAATTTAATAAGAACTTTAATATCGTCTATAATAACTATAGTCTAAAGATAAATTATATTAAGAATAAGAAAGATACTTTTATTAAATTTTTAGAAATTTAATTCGATAGTAAGAAGATAAAGATTAAACTCTCTTTTAATAAGCTAAAAAGAGCGAGAAAATCGATAAAAGCTCTTCTAAATAGGCGGAGTATCTTCTATAACGAGCTTAAGTTAGCGATAGATCTACTATCCTTCTTCGTTAAAGTAATAATCTCTAATAAAATCTTTTTAAAAAGATTCTACTTTATACTATTTAAAAAATAAAAATATTACTATATTATCGTTATAATCGTAATAGATCTACGCTAGTAAAATATCTTTTTATTTAAATAAAATGAGATATATCTACTTCGCTATATAATCGTATATCGTTATTATTCTATATAAATAAATACTTTTAATAAGTATAAAATAAAAGGGTATATTCTCGAGAATATCGTTATTTATTCTAAATTAGACGATATATTTAATATATACTTTACTACTTATTATCGTAAGAAGAATATTTAATTTAAAGAGATACTTATTATTTTTATAATTATTTATAGATAGCTACTTCGCTTATATTAATTATATCTTATACTTTATTATAATAATAACGCTATTATTAAAGATATTAATAGTAATTTTATATATAGACTAACTATAATATTACTTAGATAAATAATTATATTATTCGCTTAATATAATATCGTTTATAATATAATTTAGATCTCTATTAAATAAAATACTTTAATTAACTTACTTTCTCGCTTTAAATTTAATAAAATTATTAATTTATATTTATAGTTAAGCGCTTTTAATCTATATAAAAAATATTAAATCGCGATTTATCTAAATTATAATATAAGAAGACTTCTCTAAATTATAATATTACGAGATATCTCTAATAAGGTCTAGTTAATAAGATAAAAAATAGCTATTAAACGACGAAGGCCTTCTATATCGAGTTTTATACTCTATTAAGAACTATTATATTTCTCGCTATTATTTAATTATTTATTAGCTAAATAATATATCTAATTAATTATTATATTTAGATTAAATTTATTAAGACCTATTTTATAGATATTTAATTAGTCTATATAAATATAAAATTTAAGAATCTTAAGATCTTTTATTATTTACTATTATAGCGAGTAATTATTAATATTTATAGATTATATAGCGAGGTCGATATTAAAGAATATCGTTTAATTACGCGAGATCTACTACTTTATATCTTTACTTAATTTAATAAAACTTCTCTTAAGAGAGCTATCTTATATACTTTCTTTTATCTTATATTTATTATATTTCTTTATATAGACGAATTTATATAATTCTAAATTAAATTTAAAAGTAACGACTTTAGATAATAGTATATTATAAGATATTTAATTACGCTATATAGCTATCTATAAAGCTATTACTACTATTCTTAAAAACGAATTTATTTAGAAAAGAGATTACGCTATCTATTATCGCTGTAAATAATAATATTTACTTTATTTATTCACTATAAAACTTATTTACTCGCTTCTCTATTAATAGATTATTATTACTATTTAATTCGAATAAGATCTTTATAAGATAATATATTATCGCTATATTATATAGTACTCTATATATACTTAATTACTTAAGCTATTACTTAGAATACTCTTTTTATAAAAAAATCGCTATTTTTGTAAGAGACGTCGATTTAATTAATAACGAGATTTAACTACTTAATCGTTAGAAGTCTAATTTATATCGCTTATATATCGAGATATATCTAGTCTATATTCTTATTATATTATATTATCTCTACTATTCTTATATAGTTTAAAGTTAATAAGTTTCTATTAAATAAGAATTATCTATTTTAGAAGTTTTTCTAGAGCTAAGCTATATAGTAAATTACTATCTATATATAGCTAGATCTTAAAACTTAACTAATTATTATTTAGAACTTATTTATATATATAGTTTTTATAAAATATTTAATAAGATAATATTAATCGCTATAGCTTAATTAAAAGCTAATAAAGATATAGTATATACTTATAATAGAATAATCGAGATTACTATATTAGAAAAGCCTTAAATAGACGATATTTCTATCTATTTTTTACTCTTTATTCTTATTTCTCTCGTCGTAAAAAGAGGTTTTTACACTTTTCTTATTTACTTACGCCTTATTTTTTTAGCGTTTTCTTATACTTAGACTTTAGATCTTCTATTTTATATAGAGGAAGTTTTTCTAGGACTAAGCTATATAGTGGACCACTATCTATATGTAGCTAGGCCTTAGAACCCAGCCAATCATTATTTAGAACTCATTTGTGCGTGTAGTTTTCGTGGGACGTTTAGCGAGACAACACTAGCAGGGGGAAATTGCAGTCACGTGACTTGTAGATCTTTCATTACGGCACAGCAGGAAGTCAATTTCAACCTCACACTTACACCTTCAACAACCACTACCTACATCGAGTGATCGCCTTTCCGTCAAGGATATCTTGTACTATAGCTTCCATCAAGAGCACTCGGCTAAAGCAACAAGCAATGATGATCCTTGTGCTCCGTTAGTGCGGGGTTGACTGTCAGAATATCAGGTTAAGTAGAACGAGTGCTGTGTAGGTTGCATGAATTATTCTATCTCAGGACTCCCCTGGGCCAGTACTTGTACCCCACACAAATCAGGTGGTTGTTCCAACAGGTGGCTGGGAGGAGGCCGGGAACCTTATTTCGACATTGACTTCCCTCCTCAGTGGGCTTTGTCAGGACGCTCTGTCAACTTGTAAAGGAGGCATGGAGCTTGACCAGTGTCGAATGGTTCATTCTTTGTTGTGTGAAGGAGATGACAAGGGCTGTGAGTACAAAAGTCGTGCTGGTAATCTATTGTACACGACAGAACAGTTCCACCTTCTCATCAGCTGCTGACCTTTGCTAGTCCGCCTCAGACCACGCACAGACTTGTTTAATAAGCAACGCTCACTCTAACTGCTCGCTGATTCCATGACAGCAAGTTCTTGTATACCAAACATCGAAAGAAGCGAGAGAGGGATGGTGTAATGCAAGTGAGGATCCGTCCGGACCATAACCAACGCGACAGGCCTCCTACCATGAGCCTGCACAAGTGTTCGGTCCATGACAAAAGCTAAAGTTGCCACGCACTAGGTCTAGTTGGCATTGCTCTGGATCTGTCTGGTAGCTGGTGTAGTAACGAGTCAGCGTCTGTTGTGCTCAACTAAGGTAAGATGACTCACAGGCAGGGGCAGATGGCTACCCAGTGACCGCCACGCTTCATCGCCCTCGCTGAATTCGGAGTTTGGGTTTGACCTTTGCTTTGTATTGTTCGGCCTGGAAAGTCTCGTCGGCTTTGATTGCTTCCGTATGCTGAACCTTTGCCGGACTTTTTCCTTTGGGTCCCTTCCAGATCTTCTCCGCTTTTCCATACTCCATGTTTTGAGAGTTTCCCGTTTTTAGAGCCTGCTGAGTTTTTTTGGCCGCCGTTTTCGCAAGCTTGTCAACGGTGGGAAGCTTGTCATCCCACCGGACCTTTCCTGTCGCCATAGTATCTGCTCTGGCGGCGAGAGCTGCCGCGACTTGTGCGTCTCGAACGGATCTCTTCGCCTTTAGTTGGTTCATCTCGAATCGCCTCTCGCCTTCCTCACACAAGACACATGTCTTCCCTTCCTTGTCAAGGCAGTATACCTCTGGATGGTATGAACAATGGAACACATGCTCCAGTTCCACGCACCGTGGCACTGCGTTTTTGCCGCAGTAGGGACTAAATGTGGTCAGCAATGTCTTGAATACAGATTCATCACAGGGTGTTGTTTGCCGTACCAGTGATGAGGACTATGTACGCCCATGCTAGCAATCTGGACCTCTTTTGTGTCAGCAAAGTCACCCTGGGAGCGAGTAGTATGTTTCATACTCTTGTATGATTGGGTTGAGGCTGTTCGAGCATGTCAGCAGAATGCTCATAATAGACAATTAATGGTATGACCAACTTTGTTGTGTGTCCTTCGGATGTTTTGAACTGATACATGTCAGCAGTCGAACTCGACGTTAGTAGGCAAGGATCACTGACTTTGATGTGTTTTCGATAGAAAGTGGTAGTGAAAGACAGGATGGCGGGTACCTCTTTTGAACGATACTGTTGGACCCCCAACGAGTTGATGGAAAAGGTTGAATGAGACAGGAGGCTTGTTGAAACCTCTTGTTGAAGGGAACCTCTTGGTGAAGGAGGCTATCTTGAAAGGTGGATCGTGTGGGTTGAGGTGTCAAGGTAAGGAACCTTGCTCGATTTTATAGCATCAAGAGCCATAGGAAACACGCTAAGCCTGTGTGTATATATTTACCTCGCGTATTGGTCATTTCAACACAGCTGTATTTGACCACCCATGTACAGTTTCATTTCACTCCCGCTTACTCTACTCTAGGCTCCCTCCTAACACACCAATTTCCCAACACACAAGCTTCCCAACACGCTAAGCACTTAACTTCTGACATCAAAATCCTGCTTATTCTGAGCCTATCTAGCGACATATCCTGGATGCTAGGAGAGCAGTGAAAGCTGGCACTGACGCTAAGTCTGTCTGTGAGCGCTGTTGTAGTAGCGCAGAGCAATCTTTGACGGCCGTCAGATGTGAGGCACCAGAGACAAACAGACGGATACCTGCACTTGCAAATCGCACCACGCTAGGATCAGGTTCATCGATCCAATATACCCAACCCTGCTCCTAAAACTGTTTCCGATACCGACTTACACCACGCCGTGCTCGATCCGGTTCTTCACGTCAAGGCACAACAGGGGCTTGCAAACTGTTTTGTGTATGTTTATCGGTGAGTCACCTTGCTTCAACCAAGACATTTTCCATTGCTGATAGCTTACAAGAGCTCGGAACCGTGCATTGACGTGTTCATGGACATGACTATCAACACCCTCAATCCAAACGTTTCAGACATGGCAAGCTCCAGTGATGAGAATGATCGGATCCGCATGCTTGGTTTATACGAAGAGGAAATGAATGTCTTCGGCAGAATCTTGCGAACCATGAACCTCGACAAGATTCCCGACTTCGCATCTGATGTTCGCCAGTACGGCCATCGCTCTACAGTCAATAGCCCTGTCCAGGGTCTGTCTGAGCCTTGCTCGATCAGCTGCAAGGTCATCAATCCTCCTCTCTATGGATCTTTCCATATCGTATTTCCCATCGAATTCGCGGATGGAGCGAAGTGGATGCTCAAGATTCCCGCCAAAGGCGATCACTTCGACTCCGTTGCTGCTGCTGCCTTGGCATCCGAAGCACGGACTATGCAGATGCTTAGAAGAGAGACCAGCATACCAGTCCCAATAGTCTACGCATTCGATACATCTTCTAATAACGATCTCTTGACTCCCTTCATTCTAATGGAGAAGCTGGATGGTAGACCGTTATATCATCTGTGGTTCGATAGCGAGGTGCCGAAGGCTCGTCTTGAGCATTTTCGTATCAAAGCCCTCCAGAGCCTTGCTGGAGCTATGGTGCAGCTAAACAAGTTCACCCTTAATACTGGTGGCTCTCTTGTTTTCAATCCTGATGGTACTCCTGTTGGTCTTGGTGGTGCAAAGGTAGTGGATGGAGTAGCTATATTCAACAAGGCCAGAGCATCTCAGGTCCATCAAACAACCTCCGACAAGGGCGACGAGAGCAACCCCGATGACCTTCGTGTCGAAGCAGCCAAATCTAGCATCCCTAACGCATTTGGGTGTAGTCAGATCAACGCCGACAAGAGCGATGATGATGACATCATCTACGAGCGTGGCCCATTCAGCAACCCGAAAGAATATTTCATGTCCAATCTAGACAGATCTGACCCTGCTTTCAGAGCTGATGCATATGAGCGGGGGACCGATAGGTCTCTTCGCCTGTTCATCGAGTGGGCTTTTGCCAATTCTCGAGATCATGACCGACGTTTTGTCCTCGCCCATCCTGATCTGGATGTCCAAAATATCTTGGTAGCCGAAGACGGTACATTGACCGGCTTGATTGACTGGGACGGAGTCGCAGCCGTGCCCCGTGAAGTTGGATGCGCCCAGTATCCGCTATGGTTGATGCGCGATTGGGTGCTATTACGGTATGAGTACGATATAGACAAAGGAAGAGCTTGTACACGCGCCGGATACGAAGAGAGCTCGCCTGCAGAGCTTGCAAGCTATCGCGCCTTGTACGCCCACTTGATGGAAGTGGAGATTGAGAAGATGACCGGTGGTTCAAATAAGAGGACTACCTTCGGAACGTCACCAAAGCAGGAAGCCGATTTGACACGCAGATCCTTGATCATGAGGAACCTGGATCTTTCAGCAGGTGACCCTTGGGTTGCTTTGGGTACTGTGAATCACATTATCGATCAGATTGAGGAACTGACAGCTCCTGGATGGGAGGACACAGATTCCATTTCCTCATTTTCCAGTGGCAGTGACTCTGACAGTGACTCTAGCAGGAGTGTTGACAGTAGTATCAAAGAAGAAGATACAGAACCCCAAGCTCCTGAAACAAACGAGCAAGGCTCGATTGGTATGAGAGTGAGTGTTTCTGCTCATGGGGCAGACCAAGAATCTAAAGAGATGGAATTCATTGTGCCTGAAGTGACTGTCAAGGTCATAAACAACTCTTGGGGAGCAGGGGCACAGGATCGGGTATTCCCGGCCCCCTTGGGGGCGTCTCAAACAGACGTTGGCAAATCCAAGACGCACAAAGCATCCAAAGTGGATCCTGAAGAAGACTGCTCCACGACATCAGCTCATCTAGGTTGGACACGCAGACTCCTTCGATTTGGCTGCAACACTGCAGAGAAATCTCTGAGGAAACTAGCAAAGATCGGCTATGCCCTAGAAATTGCCGTTGACGAAGCCGCAGAGCTATCATCTGAAGCTGGAGTACAATCTGCCGTGACTGTTGCGGAAGAAAATTCTGGGAAGGTGGGGGAGCTCGACACTCCACAGCAAATAAATGCGATTGAGCTTTCTGAAGAGATGGGAACGAAGCAACTCAAAGACACCCTGTCAACTAACGATACGAGAATGCCGGAGCAGCTCAACGACGTTGGGTCGATCGGGTCCACTGCAGATGTACAGAAAATCCCATCAACTCAAACGGTTATCATTTCAGACAGGATCAAAAGATCTGCCTCTATCCCACCCACCGTAGAGCCGCAAGACATTCTGTTACGAAAGGGTGAGCTCCTGCAAGCAGCGAGGGCGGTGAAGAAGGCGGAAAGAAAGGCTCATTATCTTGCTGACAAAGCGGCAATAAAGAAAGAGCTAAAAGTGTGGGAGAACATTGCTCTTGCGGTTTGGCGTCGCGGTATTTCTCTCGAGCAGCTCCAACTGAACCAGGGCAAGATTGCTAGCTCGGTTGTCGATATGCTCCGCTCGGAGCAAGAGCATGAGGATGGTCTAGCAGTGAGTACTCATCTCACATCAGCGACTGAAGCAACCGCTGCCGCCGCCGAGATGGTAGATAGCAGTGCAGCTGCTCTGAGCCGTCTTGAAGACAATTCCATGCAGTCAAAAGGGGAACCAGAGGAAGTCCGGCTAGAAGAAGACGTGCCACAGACCGCGAAGGTCAACGGCGATGAGCCGTCGAGGACTTCCAAGGTCACCATTACCGGTGTTGCAGAGAATAGTAGACTTGAGTCGAAGGCTCACCGGATTTCCATGAAAATTTCGAATACCACATGTCAAGCTATTCGTGAACCGGAGAACACCGTCTTCGAAATCTTCGAAGACAACAAAGACGAGTCAGAGTCGCCCAATGCCATTTTGTCCACACCACAGCCTCAAGCTGGGTTGTGTCTTGCTCGGAACTCCCGTACCTCGAAGTCAAATGGCAGTAAGAAGAGAACGAAAAAGCCGACGACAGCTAAAGGGGACAAGACGTCGCCTGCATTGGGAAAAGAAAATCCTTCTTCATCAGAATGGTCTGCGTTCAACACTCTCCCCAACAATTCTGTTTCAACGAACCAACCAGAAGTACCACCCGAAGAAGATGACTTTGCTGTTGGGTTCAACATTGGGCAGAAGAACAAGATGCTCCACGAAGAAGCGGCTAGAGACTTCACCAAAGTAAGAGAATCGCAGACATCGTCCGGGTCCTCATCTACGTCTAGAGAATGTGTGCTACCGGCGACCGCTAAAACCTCTTACAGCCTTAGAGCTCTTTGCAAGTTTGGGACCTCGTACTTCACGCAGATCCTCTTTAACCGCAACCAATCCAAGGAAGACAAAGGGTGCTTGTCTCAGGAAAGCAGTGTAATCAGTGAGAGTGGTAATGAAGAAGAAGGAGGAAGCGACGTCGAAGATACTCACTCTAGTGCCACTTCGCTAAGTGACGACCAAGCCAATGATGAAGAGAACCATGAAATCAAGGAAGATAAAGATGATACGCCACAATTTGCAGTCATTGCTATCAATGAAGGCCATGGAGGTGGATGCGGTGGAGATGAAGATGGCGAAGAATTTGACGAAGAGGGACGCGAAGAAGGTAGAATAAACGAAGCGATGGGACAGACGAACCACCACAAGCATGCGTCATTCGCCAAAGGCTCGCCCGAGGAAGACGGGCTCATCAAGTCTTGCGCATCTCGAAGGACGTATGACCCCTGCAGTGAAGATTGGGTAGAGGCAAAGAATTTCGACAAACCAACCAAGGTTGGAAGCACCCCTACAACAAGTGACAAAGCACGAATTGGCGAAATGATTGACGACAATGACGGCGGAGATGGAGGGGATGCGAACATTGAATCCGGCCATGAGGATCAAGCTTGCGGCGACGAAGGGGTTGAATCTTTGGGTGACTCAGACATACCTGAATTCGAGGATCATGGCGGATTTGATCGCTACACCGTCTGCAACCTCCTAGGGATGGGGGAACTTGACGAGCTGCGCCTGCTACGCCTGAAAGAGGGGTTTTTGATGCTACTTGAGCAGTATTGAGGCTCGATGAAGGGTTTGGGGGGGAGTCACATGCTGTCGAAGAGGGTGAGGATGGAGATGAACACTTTAGGGGATAAAAAGGAGCGTTTCAAGTGCTGGAGGCCATCACGTCGTGGGTCGTTAGCAAGGGCAATGTGAGACGAGGTAGTGGACTCCAAGGAGTTTGGCGATGTATAGGGTCTTTCTTCACGAGATGGTGAAGCGGTTACATACGATATTTGGGGACGGCATAAAGCTCAGCTGGCTCTGGCGAGTCAAAGCGCCTAGAAGCATGGAAAATGGTAGAGACAGGGTATTTCTTTTTTCCTTTGCAGCGAGAGAGATTCCTATGGTCATGATTGTATTTAGACTCGATGATTGGCTCGCATACATAGATAGCCATTGAGGCAATCTTTCTCGGGCGCTGTCTAAATTACTAGATCTTCCACAAGCGTCGATAAGACTCAAAGAATCACGAAACGAGACTAACTATCCCATGTAATAGCATATCCTGCGGTTTAATCGTTGAATAGAGATGATTCAAACTCATAGTAATGCTCATGCGTGCAGATTGAGTTCTATACTTTGAGGACTCTATACTGTGGGCTTGGAAGAAAATGTGAATGCAAATATTCAAGGGTCACGCTTAGAAGTAACCCCAAGAGTTCTAGATCTAACAAAATAATGCCGTCTTCCATCACTCCAGATACAGGCCCTTGGGGTAGTGTCGAATGAGAGGAAATAGGTGCTGTTTACAAGCGCTTTCCCCAGACAAGTAACAAATGCGGCGTCCTTGCTCGAACATGCTTAAAAGCCATGGTTCTCTATACTAAGCATCCGTAGTACTATTCGCTTGCTGCCAAATCCTGCTTATTGGATAATGTGTGCATTCAGTGATCTCATAGCATGTAGAATAGTTATTCTATTGTGATATTCTATAAAGTATATAAGAAGAATGGAGGTAGACTATCTATTTATGGTGTGAAGCCCACGCTAAGGCTATTTGCCACTTGTGTCTTTGCCACCATGAGGAGTAGTAATAACACCTATTTGGAACTTAGTAGTGTAGCCATGCTGGCCTCCTATTGGCTGATTCCAACACTGCTTGAGCCTTGGCTTTGCCCTTTCCTTTCTCCTTTGCGACCCTGCTCCACCTCTGGAGCCAACTGTGCCCCGGAGAGCTGCTGCTTCTCCCTCTTTGGCCACTTTCGTGACTTCTGAGTTACCCCAGCTTTGGCAGTCGCTTTTTGTCGAGGTTTTTCGGGCTTCTTGATGATTTCCCTCTGGTTATCATTATTTGTGTTCGCGAAGTCAGCGTTACCGGCGTCCTTAGCCTTCCTCTCCAGCTTCCTCACGCGATCTTGCTCCCTCTGTGCTCTTTCCCTTCGGTCCCATTCGTCCATGGATTCTATGCATTTACCACTTTTTCTCCAAAAGTGGTTGGGGTGGATCCGGCACTGGTACAAGTGGTGTATCTCAACGCGGAAAGTGGATATTGGTACTGCCACACCAGCTCGGAATAGTTAGGTAGCATCCGGTTTTTGGTGTTCTTGTAGTCGTTCCGGTGATGGCTGCCTCCTACTTTTCTTTCCTACCATGGCAACGTAAACAGGGACCGGAATAAGTCTGTAAGGCGAGCCATACCCTAGTACGTCTTGACGTCCTTTGAGCGTTTGTCGTGTTTAGGTCAAGACGTTTTGAGCTACATCATGTTAGCATCAAAGCTCGATGATGTGATCTGGGTGAGACAAGCCTTGATGCGTTCTCGACAGATCAGAGAGGATCGAAGTCCAAAGACGTGGCGAATGTTGTTGAGAGATTTGGTAATGAGATCCGTTGTAGGATTTTTTCTCCCTAATGGAAGTGGAAAAGTAGAAGGGTGGTGAGTGTTCCCTGTGGCAGCAGCGGCCGTGCACAAGATGCAAAAACTATGTTTATATATTTACTTGGTGTCTCAGTCAGTTTTGTAATTCCAATTCTCGGCACAACGGACACTACCTCTTGTCTCTTCATGACGAGCTGTAATTGCGTTGGTATGTGTGTAGTGTAATACAAAGAAATTTTAATGGCGGCTATGGAGTGCAATATATATGGTACATCAAGACGCTAGTAGAGGACCTTGTCCTAATCGACACATAGGTGTCGAGAGCCAGGTCATGGGGTCATACTATGGCACTCAAACTCTTATTTAGGGTAACATAAAAACCTTTCGCCACTCTGTCGTGTTGTTGAGGGTATTTAGTTCGTATTAGGTTCGATTCCTAATGGCGCTGGTACAATGGTGTTGCGGTGCTTCTTATTTTCTCTCTGAGGCAATTACTCAGACTACAGGGTCCGTACCACATCCGGTTAATCTCCTTTCGAGCTCACAGAATAATTTCTTGCCCGAATCAAGAGCCTAGAAAGATACGGTAAAACCTTCTTATTCTAGGAAGCACCAGAAAAGAAGCTAAAAGTCTTGCTTGAAGGTTCTTTTGTATGCAGCCTTAACGAACTAGACAGGAAGCTATTTATCAACAAACTTCCATCGATGTCCACGAAGCCTGTTGCCAAGAAAATGTCAACTTAGTTGTCTCATGTGTGAAAAACGTATATCCCATCCACTCACACATATACTTCCCACATAGGATGTAAACAAGTGGTTGCGCCGTCTTACGCCGGGGATGGCAAGTCTAAGAGAGTCCGAATAGAGGTCTGAACAGGCATATTCTCCTACTTTAGCGTAAGGAAATTGTTATGTCTGTGCGACGTAGATCTGGAGTGAAAGTCTAGTCATGTACAAGCACGGATGGGTGGGTCAAAGTATACTATGGTTCAGAAAGAGATGAATATGAATAAAGAGCCACTTGCTGGTGCAGAAGAGGTGTCTATATAGGGTTTGATGAACGGATGTCTATATAGGTCCTGATGAATAGCTGTCTACTGCTATAGACACATGCGTGAAAAAAGCGGTTATATCATGAGACCCACCAACCCCCAGTCCCACTGTGGATGAATAATGACCACACCGGCTGCCCAGCGTGCCAGGGTCGCAGGGGGTATCGTGCTGTGAACACTAAGCAGGTTGTGGGTACGTAAACCTCCGACTTTGGACTCGGATCTTTCTCAATCTTATAGTTGCTGGCGGTGTTAGGGAAGTAATGGGGAGGACTGAATAATATAGGGGTTCACGACAGTCTCCGTCGTCTCCAAGTTGATCCACTGTTGGAAAAGACAGGATGTAGATTGAGGGTCCACTACTTGCGATCCCCTTTCTTCGCTTCCACCCACCCGGGCACACATTTGGAACCCAATTTTTTGCCATCTTTCCCCGTCTTTTTAGTCTTCTTACTTATCTTCGTAGCCTGCGCCTCCTCCTGTTCCTTGTCGGCTTTCAGAGCGGCTTCTGCTTCCTTTATTTCCTTTTCCTGTGCCTTCCACTCTCGCTCGCATGGTGGACATTGGCCCTCCCATTTCGAATACGTCTTGTGTTTGAGGCAAAGAACCATGTGTTTGGCGTCGATGCATGTTTGTTTGAACACTCCGTGACATTTTCCACTAAACAATTGATCAGATATTGTCAATGAAAGTCTGTGAGTCTCTCATGTAGGCAGTACCAGTGGTGGCTCTTCATTGATACATGTCCGCTTGGGCGTCTACCGGATAATTGTCAGCAGAGTGTCTGTAGATGTCAACAAGATCCAACAAACCTTGGTACTTTCAATTCTGCCGCGAGCTTCAAGTTGTCCTCGAGGTAGGGTGGAGGTAGAGGAGGGTTTTGACCCATGGCTTGGGCGTAGTCACAGATCTTTGTTGAAATTTTTGAGGGGTGAGAAATCTAGGAGTGATGGGCTTGACAGAAGACAGGGAGCGAGGGACTGTGTTCGGAATCGGTATATATGTATTAAGTCCTATCAACGTCAGTCAACACACTTTCAAAACCATAACAACTTGCATCTAGCGCGTCTCCATTAGCAACTTTCTCCACGCTAAACTCAATGTCTGACCTTTGCCACTGCACTTCAAGAACACGCTCCGCGCTTCAACAACACCCGCCGTAGGTATTTATACCACAAACTCGACATCACTGTGGCCGTGAAGGACATCGATAGCGAAACATATCTCCAACTGCGGCATCTGCTCACTGAACAGGAGGACAGTACTGGGAAGGTTTTTGTATGAGACGTACACAAAAAGACGGCCAACTGCGTCAGATTCTTTCACCACTCTCCAGCTCAAAGCATCACAAACAAGCGTCAGTGCACCCATCTAGCATCTTCCCGCAATCCTCAGCAACTTCGAACCAGTCCTCACCCGCCATCGTCGGCTCCCAAAGAAGTGGCAGTGTCATGGCTAGTACTAAGACACAGAAGTCGATGAATTCCAACGAGCAGGATCGGCATGCAGATGGCATCAGAATTAGCGGACAGGAACGCGCGACATTCGCATCCATCCTTGCAATCGTTGATTTGGACGCAATATCCAAGTTTGCTTCTACGGTGCGCCAGTCAGGCCACCTTTCCACAGCAACCAACCTCACGAGGATAGTGGCCTCACTCGGCTTCACACCCTGCAAAGTAAACTCAGCACCATTCTCGGGATCTTACAACATTGTCTTTGTTATCGAGTTTACTGATGGCGTTTGCTGGATGCTAAAAATCCCCGCCAACGGCCATAATCAGCAGTTCGGTGAGCTTGCAAGCAAGGCTCTTATATCTGAAGCGCGCACTATGCAAATGATCAAGAAAGCAACAACGATTCCTATTCCTGCTGTGTATGCATTTGACGGTTCTTTGGATAACGAGTTGCATGTGCCTTTCATCTTAATGGAGCGAATCGATGGGACACCTCTGTACAAAGGATGGTTCAACGAAGACGAAAAACCAAAGGCTCAGCTCGAGAAATTTCGGGCTAGAGCTTTACAGAGCCTTGCAGCGGCTATGGCACAGCTGAATCTGTTCATGCTGGATCATGGAGGCTCGGTTGTATTCGATTCTGATGGCAAAGCGGTCGGTGTTGGAGGAGCGAAGATCGTTGATGCGAATGCCATGTGGTATTCAGAAGACGAAAACCCAAACAACATCGACATCTTCTGCGAGAAAGGACCATTTGCTGATCCAAAACCCGCTCTTCGTTTCATGCTGGACCGTCGTCCATCTAGACCTGAAGATGACGCATACCTCAAGGGTGTTGATGCTTTACTGCGCATGTTCGTCGAGTGGGCGTGCGAAAAGAAACCACACGGGCCCCGTTTTGTCTTGGCACACCCCGATTTCGATATTCAGAATATCCTGGTTGCTGAAGATGGAACGCTACGCGGTTTGATTGACTGGGATGGTGTTGCTGCAGTGCCGCGAGAGGTCGGCTGCGCCCAGTTTCCCATTTGGCTGATGCATGACTGGATAGAGACTCAATATGACTACGACGTTAGTGCGGGAAAGCCACGGGAAGAAGCTGGATATAATGAGAGCTCACCTAACGAGCTTTCGTGCTACCGAGCGATGTACGCGCAGTTTATGGAACAGGAAATTGCGCTCAACACTAAAGGGTCGGCACATCTCACAGTCCACGGTACCACGCCCAAGGAAGAAGCTGATGTGACTCGGCGGTCTCTGGTGATGAAAAATTTGGAAATTGCTACGAACACTCCTATGGTTACCTCCGATATTGTTGACCATATGCTGGCCTTGATTGTAGACCTCACAAAACTGGACTGGGAGGATGTACAGCCCGACTGTGACTCATCCTTCTCAACCCAGAATGAAATAGAGACCGAGATGATAGAGCGCAAGCTGGGTAGTGCCACAGTGGAGTACGTTTCAGGCAGCAGCGGCAGCGGCAGCGAGAGCAACATCTGCAGCAATAGTGATAAAGACAGCACCGACACCAAAGCGACAGAGATAGATGATGAGGATCAAGCCATGGTAGCTAACGATTCTACCAATCAGTTCGATGATAAAGCCGTCAACATGGACGCTTTTGTAACCGAGCCCCCACTCCTGAGCAAAGTCGAAGCCCGAGAGCAGGGAACGGAACCCTCTGCTGATACTTGTGGCGACAAACCAAGCTCAACTTCTCTGGGTTGGACGTGGAGACTGCTTCGACTCGGTTGCGATAAGGCTGAAATTTGCCTGAGAAGTATTGCCAAGATCGGCCATGTTCAGAATGATGCCGTCGGTAGAGTGGCGGAAGTACCGGCCAAAGTCGAAACACAACATGGTAAAGTCGCCATGCAGGGAGAGTTTGAACAGATCAAAGATATCTCTTCCACTCAAGGTATGGAGGCTTCGCGGCAGCCCACTAACATAGCATCAATAATACCTACGGCAAAGGTCGACGAGATCTCTGCGAGGAAGGCTGATCTCCTCAAACCGGCTAAGGCGGAGAAGAAGCTTACTGAGTATACTGAAGAGAAGGCTGAAACCGAGGAGCAAGAGATATGGGAGCGAATTGCTATCGATGTCCGCAACTGTGGTGTACCCGTCGAAATCCTTCGAAAGCATGAATTCCAGATTACATCATGCGTCATTTGTACAATCATTAACGAGCTCAAGGCAGAGCAGAAGCAAGACCAGGATCTGACGGCATACATAACACTCGCGGAAGAAGCAATATCCGTTGCCACTGAGACGGCGAGTAGCAGTACAGCTGATGCTGAGCCTGACAGCTCAGCTGGAATGTCAGCGCTGGGACGGCACGCTACGCTAATCAATAAGGAAGTGGCTATACCTACTACTCAAGTGACACGAGTACCGCCATCTTCTAGCTTTCCATCCACATCCGGGTACAAGGTACTTATGAAAAAAATTGCAAGCCGTCTTCGAGCTTGGGGTCGATGTGGCACTTCGTACCTGAAGTGCATGTTCGCTAGTCCCATCGCATCGGGATGCATGCGGCATCTCACATCAGACAGTACCGTCCACAGTGAAGAAGATGAAGAAGACGATGTCCGGAGTGACGACCGCGGAACTCCTAGCTTCAGTGTGATGTTCCTAAGTGACGATGAGGTCGAAGTTGGAGAGAAAGAGGATGATGGAGAAGTCGTGGAAGAGACGTCGGCACTGAGCGTCAATACTGTCGCTGAAGATGGTAAGGGGGAAGGAGAAAGACACGAAGGTGAACCTGACGTAGGTGAAGATGACGAAGGTGAAGGCAACAAGAATGAAGTCAAAGAAGATAGAATGAGTGAAGCCACCGGAAAGACCAAAGACCGCCATGATTCCGTTCACACCGAAGGCTCGGACCAAGAACACGGTCTTCTTGAGTCTTTCGCGCACCGTAAAGTGTACGACCTGTGCAGTGTAGAATGGGTGGAGGGTTTCCAAGTGGACAAAGGGATCAAATCCCGTACGACACCAGCGATACGTGAAGAAGTCGAAGACTTGGAACCTGCCGAGGCACATGTAGCCGGAGGCGACAATAAGAGTGAAGCTGGCGACGAGGGTGGTGCGGAGGACGATAAGGATGGAGATCAAAACGATGAATCTTCCAGTGATGAAGACGAAGATGTCTCGCGTCAGCAGGTTGCATTCGTCGATCGCGGTCGCTTCGATACTTGGACAATCCTCAACGTTCTCGGGTTAGGTGATCTCGATGAACTGCGTACGCTACGTCTAAGGGAAGGTTTCTTCACGTTGCTTGAGCAATGTTGAAGGCTGATGGATGATCGACGTGAGAAGAGTGACTTTGCTCCCAGAAAAAATTCCGCAGCTCGGAGGACGATAGCTATAATTCTGAGGGAAGGAAACAGCACTTTGAGGGATGTTCGTAGGGTGATACAGGGATAAGCAGCTGACCTAGGTGCAGCCAAGTTGCTGGCGAAGATGGTGACTGGGTACAGAGGGCGCTTGTGACTGAGTGCATTCGTAAGGACTCATTGTTGCTAGGTGGAGGACGAGGCGTTGGCATGTTAATTTGGGCTTAATTCTTTCATTTCATAGAGTACCTGATCGATCACAAGGATCCGCAAGACGGAATTGCTCATACTTTATGGAGAAGTCGATGGCTATCTCGTTCGAAAGCCTACATTTATATGTTGATTGAAACGCGTGGATGAGTTAAATGACTCCGCTGGATGATGGCGGAGATTTAGATCACGTGACACAAGCCAAGAATTTAATTACGGGACGACATCAAAGCTCGTTGAGCCAAATTGAACCTCACCCCACTCGCTCTACTTTCCAAAGAGGCGTTCCACTACGAGCTCGAGCTGATTCAGTAGGCAGTACTCATCTATTCTTCATAATACCATGGACAGCGTTCTCGCAAGGTCACTGCTTATTCTTGTGCCAGCCGTGTGGCCGTCTGCTTTGAAGCGGGCTTTGTAGGTGAGCATTGTACATCTGCAATCTTGTCTTATACATGACCGATGCTTGATTTGGTGTCTCTACTACCGATGAACAACATCGATTTCTAGGTAGTGACTGCAGTCCACATTGCACGTCCAGTCCCGAATCACACCTGCCTGAAGTTATGCTGCGTTAACAACGTCCAATACTGTCCGATACTGGAGATCGAGCACAGATTCGTGTGGTACGGGGATCAAGCCCATTTTCATCGACTTACCACTCAGGACGAGCGGAATTCGAGAGATGCGTGGGGTTTCACGCTCATCTTTGGAGACATCACGCTTCAGCCATCTACAAGAAGCTAGGTTTGCAATTTATATACTCGATTTAGTGATACTCTAATCCTCGACTCATTGATCACGCAGCTCTTTTAGGCAAGCACTCAGCAGGCTGACGCTCTTCGATTACAAAAATTTCCGGGCCCAGACAGCCTCCTGAGCCTTTTCCTGCTGCTGCTCGATCTTCTTTTTCTCTTGCTCTTGACGTCTCAAATCTGCACGACCTATTCCTTCGTAGGTCTCCCAGGGATCCCCATACTTTCTCCATATATTATGCTCTGGGCAATGCTCCATGTGCTTCTTGATGATGCAACGTGGGCCGAACACGTGATGGCCATCGAGCTTGCTCTCACGACCCTGTAGTCGGTAACGCTCTGTCTCTACGACAGATTCTACCAGCCGTGTATAGGGTACACCATTGATGAAGTCCTGTAATACGGTCAGTGATGTTACGCCGAACCAGTCAGACTGGAACAGAACTATATTGTACTCCGCTTGCTCTGTGAGAAAAGGGATTTTGGCTTTGGGACAGACCTGTTCTGCTCAAGTTGTCAGTGGTGTTAATCCCAGAGGAGGCGGTAGAAACCACCTGCTATTGAAAGACCTGACTTACTTGTTATCTGAGAGCACTTTTTTGCATTCCGTAAAGGTTTGGATCCAAAAGCTTGAGGTACGGCTGGTGATGTGGTAGAGGATACTTGCTTGGGGATTCGTAGAAGAGGAAAGATAAAAGTCGGTTATCACTTCCTAAGCACTTATAATCAAGCATGACTAGATGTTGACCTTAGCGCATCCTTCTATTTGCCACTATACAGCCTATGACACAGCATCTGACATGGCTTCTGACACGGCCTCTGATGCACTGGAGGTTGGTGTTGTGCATCGACTTCACCCGCATTACGGGGCAATCTTTCCGCTTTGTGCCTTGCTGACACGCGCTTCGGGCGCGTCGTCCTGTCGGATTACCTAATGTCGATGTGATGAGGAGAAGACGTGTTGAGGTGTCAATAGTCCCGTCGATCGGGCATGCTTACCGCACATATATTTTTACCGTCCACATCGGCCGTCCTCCTTTCCACATCTCTTGCAACACTGTCGATTTTCACAGCTATCCAAGCGGTCAGCTGCTGCGGTAGTACTTGTATCTATCTCGCGGAATGGCACCAGCAAACTCTCGGTACATGGCTGATGCTTCCGCCAACACCAATGCAAAGATGGCACGAACGTCTCTTCACCCCTCGGCCGGCAGCAAAGCATATCAAGATGATGACTTCATGAGACAATTTGGGGCAGTGCTCGCCCAGCTCAAGGTTGGCAATATCGGCCCTCTCGCTGTGTCCGTCCGACAAAACATGCAAGCTCGAGACAGCACAGAGCAAACAGATCCATCCCAATCTACAGACAACACCGTGATAGGCTGCAAAGTCTCTCCCGAACCTCTTCGGGGCTCTTACAATATTGCATACCGCGTGCTGTTCGATGACGGAGTTGAATGGATCCTGAAAGTGCCTGCGAATGGCTCCCATGCCCGCTTTGACCGCCTAGCAGCAGACGCCATGACCTCGGAGGCTCTCACCATGAAGATGATCAAGCAATCGACCACCATTCCAGTCCCCGCTGTCCATAGTTTCGATGTCTCCTCAAACAATGAAGTCGGTTGTCCCTACATATTGATGGATTTCCTCAAAGGCAGACCACTATATGAGGGTTGGTTCGACCCGAATGCTTCCAGCGCAAAACGTGAGCAATTTCGAGCCCGAGCTTTGCAGACTACAGCAGCAGCTATGGTACAGCTCAGTACATTTACTCTCCACCGCGGTGGGGCCCTACGATTCGATTCAGCTGGCCAACCCGTGGATGTTGCTGGTGCTAAGGTGCCGGATGCCAAAGCCTTTTATGATACCATCGACGGAGAACCTTACCCCGAACACGATGTTTGGTGCGAAAATGGTCCTACTACCGACCCTTCCTCCTATCTCTTATTCATGTTGAACCGTCGAGGCTACAAGAAGGGAGATAGTGCCTATAGCCGAGGTGTCCGTGAGTCTGCCGGCCTCTTCACAAAGTGGGCGCTTGAGCTGTCTGACAACATGGACCACAAGGAGCAGCAGTTTGTACTTGCACATCCAGATTTCGATATCCAAAACATTTTGGTGCACGATGACGGGACCCTCTCTGGGATTCTTGACTGGGACGGTGTAGCTGCAGTACCGCTATCGGTGGGATGCCTGAGGTACCCAAACTGGCTTATACGGGACTGGGACCCTGTCAACTACAACTGGGACATCGAAGCCCATGAGCCAAAATCGTACTCTGGGCGCCCAGAGAACACTCCTGATGAGCTTGTCTGTTACCGAGCGATGTACGCCCAGTTCATCGAGATGCTGCTACCAACCGATTCTGCAGGTATCAAGACAGGCAAGATGGAGGCTGATATTATAACGCGTATGTCTTTGATCACTGAGAGTCTCGAGGTCGCTGTCAACAGACCAATGGCCACTGGTCAGATTATCGGACATCTATATCGAGAAATCAAGCGAATAACTGGAGAAGAGGATGATAACGACTCGTCGGTCACTGTTTCTTTGGAATCAGGCGCAAGATCCAACATCAGTGATGGTGATGACTCGGAGACAGACTCTTTGGCGTCTGGGGATGGGGTAGAAGACGGGAGTAGCGACGAAGACACTGCACCAACTGAGATAGAACAGTCCATTTCAGGGCTCTCAGATGATGGAAAGGGTAAATTCCCTGAGTGTCTCTGCCAGAAATGCATTACAATCTTGCACCATTCTTCGCCAGAGGTCATCGACGAAGAGAAAGACGAGAACGATTTCTTGGCGCTGGATGCAACTCGCGAGGGCCCAGAATTCGAACAAGATGGTCCTGAGATGGCTTTGTCTGACCAGGTCCCGGCGAAAGCGGCTGCTCATAAGCAAAAAGCTGCTTCTTTCGAAAAGGCTGGAGTTGCCGGATGGGCCAGCGGCTTGAGTGATTATGGGCCTACAGGTATAGCCAAAACACTCAACAATAAAGCAGCAACTGGATCGAAGCCTTCTGGAAAAGTAAGAGTGGTAAAATGGGCTCTCAAATTGGGTGAGAAAGGCTGCAAAGAAGCTTCTAAAGTCTTGCACAAAAAAGAAGCATACGGTTCGCAGCCGAAGGATCGGGTCGAAGCAACGCCTGCGCAGTTTGACGCTCAACCTGATTCAAAAACCGCAACGGCGGCCATACGTCTGTGCAACCGGACCGAGACCTTGCTGAGACAGATCAGTGCTCGGATGCATCAAGACCGCGCACCTGGAGCTGAGGGGTCAAACCCCAAAGAGACCAAGACTAAGCGCGTTCAAACTTTTCTCAACTGGCTGATCACCGTGGTCAAAAAAATGATCCGGAAGCCAGTAAAGGACGGTGTTGAAGTTGCAGAGATGCCTACAATCACCGGAGGACGATTACCGCACAACATCGTCCTGGTTGACATAGAGCATTGCCAGAGATGCAATCCTGTCGAGGAGAGTCCCGACCGAGAACAAGCAAATGATCAAGATTACTCCGTCGAGACGAATTCGGATGATGTCTGGGCTCACATTGCTGCAGAGATAGACAAGAGCGGCATTCCCGCCGATCTGATCAAGAAGCGCCAGGATGTGGTTGCGCAATGCGTCATTGAAAACTTGGGGCAGGAAATTGAACGAGAGAAGGAGACGGAGCTTTATCTGAATGATAAGAAAGCCACTAGAACAGCAAAGAAAGCAAAGAAGCGAACAGAAATACCAAACACAAAACACGAGAGCCATTCGGGTCCCATCCAGCCACCAGCTTCTGTCAAGTCAGAGCTTGCCAAGCCAAGCTCAGTGAATATGCGCGTGGCCAAGACGGAAGCTGCACAGACTGGGATGCCAGAGGAATTGGAAGCTGACGTGGAGGATGGAAAATTGGACGAAACACACCGATTTACCTCAGCTTCGCTTGATGGAGTGGAAGGCTTTAACAGCGAAGAGATCGAGAAGCCAGAGCCCGAGAACGCGGAATGCCCAAAGTCCAGCATCCTAACCCCCGGAGACCCGGATCCGGATGCCGTTGATATGGACCATATTCGACCATACAACTATGAATGTGGATCTTCAGAACCTGAGTCACTGATATCCAAGCTCGAAGCTGCCAAGCAGCGTTTTGATATGGAGATGGCACTGAAAGGGCAGAACTCTGGATCTATGCGTCTAGTACCTGGAAATACTGGCGTAGGAACCCCGCAACTTGGAGATTCCAAGCAGCAAACATCAACACATGACGCTGCAGCACCAGAAGCTATCGAGGAGGCCAACCGAAAGCTGCGCATGATCTTGTCAAGCTTTGCGAAACCCCGAGCCGCTAGTAGCAGATCGGAATCGAATGTATTCCAGATCGCAGAAGATGATGGTGCCGCAACGGCGCGACTCGGAAGTGTGCAGTCTTCTGGAGCTATCGATATAGCTAATCAAAAGCTGAAGGCGATGCTGTCGAGCCTTCAAGAGCCCGTAGCCGCCGATGCTGGCTTGCAGTCGAACATGTTCCAGATTATAGCCGATGACGACGAAGAACCTGAGAGCAGGAAAGGTTTCCAAACAGCATCATTCACATCTATCTCCCTTGCTAGTCCGAAGAATGTGCCAGCACAGTTCCAAAAAGCCGTCAAAGGTGGTCGATGGTTTGAGACCCCTAAGGGCAGCTTGAAACGCATTGAAGATGAGGAGCGGGTGAATGATAGCTCGAACGTTCATGAGATGACCTCACGACCCAGCAGCTACTCTTTAGAGGATAACGGAGGGTCGTCAGAGACTTCAGTAGCCAACCGCGATGATGAAAATGTGGCTAAAGTCTGTGATTTCCAGCTTCTATTTCCGAACCACAACCAATCTGAAGCATTCAACGTTCTCCAAACACCAGGCGTTGACGAAAATGTCAAAGACTATGAGGAAGAATACGGTGTGGAAGGATTCACCCGAAGTAGCAACGGTGGGGAATTCGCCGAGTCAGAAGAAGGTGAAGTGCAAGATGAAGAAATTGGCCTGCTCAGAGCGGCGCAGGGAAGTCTTGGGGAAAAGATCGTGGATAGGGTATCAGCCGGTGGTGAAGAGTTAGGACATCCTGGTCCAAAGAAGACCGTCGACCGGGGCAACTTCACAATGAGCGAAGTTTGCGTAGCCCTCGGAAACGGCAATCTCGATGAACAGCGTATGAGGAAGTTGAAGGTGGGGTTTATGATGGTGCTTGCTGAAGCTTTGGGGAAAATATAGGTGGACATGGGAGGGTGGTATATGTCATAGACGGCACCCTCTTAGGGAAATGGGTGAGGCTGATGGAGTGAGACCGTGGAAGAAGTCGAGTAGTGAGGAAGGCTCGGGACTTTGAGGGCGATGAAGGCTTCCCAAGGTCCCAGACACTACGGGTTTCCTTGGTCAGGAGTACAGTTCGTTGCAGCTTTCAGAGTCAAATACAGAGGTCTTGTACATGGTCATTCCAGTAGAGGTCAGATTGAGCAGAAATGTAAGCGCTTATACATTCAGTTTCAGTCTCATTCTCGCTAGCTGCACCCCTAGACTGTGACCTGTGGCGGTACTAATGCAAACTATTTCATACGGCGTTCTGAACAACAGTTTCTTCGTTGTACCTTGTGTGAGCCCTTTTGGAAAATTGTTTACCTGGGAAACTTGGACAAGTAAGCCTAACCCCTTCGCTTCTCACCTGACGCGCACTTGGGTAATCCCTGGCATCTCACTGCTAACAACCCAGGCAGCCAGATATACTTGCCCGTTTCTAGGGCCTTTTCAAGTGGCTCAACACCATAACGCCAAGACAATCGTCTACGCCCCCCTCGACTTCACTGCACCATATCACCCAACGCTCTCAACATTCCGCCAACATCACACTACCAACCTGACATGAAGATCCCTCTACTCGACGCCTTCTGTTCTTCTTTCTTATCCATCACCAACTCCCTCCTCCCAAACCCACCGTTCAGCAATTTTCAGTTTACACAAAAGCCAGAACACAACATGGCGCCGGGACAACTACCTCGCCCAACACGGCAACCGAACCATCCACCTTTTCCTGACCCGACTCAACACAAGGGGCAGGAACGGGTGCATCGCCCGTCTTCGGAAGCATATCAAGCATTCCGCCTTCGCATGGATATGCAACATCATTCCTGGCTCCAGCGTACCAAGGACCACTTCCATCAACTTATCATGTGGGCGGAGCGTCAACCGTCGAACGGGACCGTGCGCAAGGTCGAACGCCCCAATGACGAGGATCGTTTTGCCGTGGCCTATGGCACCGGCCCTGATCCTGATTTACGAGATCTACTGGTGTGTTTGCAACATATTTCGGTAATATTGGAACTCTGAAATTGACACTGACTGCAGGAGAAAATCTTCGCTAAGCACGGCGAGGTGAGCTTGCAACATGATGGTCGCGATTCAACTGGCAAGCACTGGATCAAATGCTTCGGTGTAAGCCGCCATAGTTCCTATAAACCGTGCTTTGATACTGACACCGTCACAGAAAATGCAACCAGGTTCTCTCGAGCGACCCACTGAAAAAGCCATCGTCTGCGTTTCTTCAAAGCTGGAAATGGCCACCATTCCGCGACCTCGGACACGGGTGGTGCCCGGAAAAGGGAAGGAAAAAGCGACACGTGGTGGCAATGAGTGGCCTCCTCAAGTCCCAGGCGTGGTGAAGGGAGCTCCTGAAAATTTGTTTTCGCTACCGTGGTTCAAGCAGTTACCCTGGTTGGAGCCCGGTGTGGCGGAAGTGCTTCGAGAGAAGATGGAGGCCGAAGAGTTTGAGTTTGAGGCTGAGCGCTGGGAACAGTTAGCGAGGAGACGTCGAAGGGGTTGAAAATGCTTGGGAAGCTAGCTGGGAGAAGGCGGCTTTGTTCATAGATATGAAAAAGTAGTTCGAAAGCAATTTATGGGCGAACGGCGTCCAGCTCAAGACTTTTGTCTCGGGCTGCACAAGAGGATTCGCGCATGTCATATCTTGTTTCCTCCTGGTCTCGTCAAGGTTCAAATAGCCTACAATTTTCGTTTCCGGTCATCATTGATCGCAGTTCCAAGACTTAGTACACGCATGCGTCGATTGTTCGTTGGACCGTTGAAGTCTCCATAATAGCAGGAAAACTTCTTTGAGCACGGAGATCCGCAGCATGCGTTGTCTGAGTCCGACGATACTGATTGTCTTCATATGATATGTCTCAAGCTCTGACCCCCACGGTGAGGGGCATTCTGAGACATGGTTTCGCTCTTCAGAGACCAAGCCTTCTGATACACGATATCATCGAAGAACGGGCAGATGACTTCAAAAAAATGTGTATCGCTCTCTGACGATTCTTTTGCTAGTCTAACTCACTGGGCCAAGTCCGAGCTTACATTCTAACTCCTATGCTCCTTGCAATGTTTTTTTTTCGTTTTCTCTACAATGCATTCATTCGACAAAGAATCGAACATGAAGACAATAGAAATCGCGGCTGCGATTATCATGTCTCTTATGACAAAGGAACACGCACAAAGCGTTTGTCGTCGCCTTAGCTGTACAGCACGAAGAGAAGTTTTCAGTGGCTTTGTGTTTGCGGCTTTAGATACGCAGCTGTCCTCCCCATCCGATCTTTTTCGGCATCAACTGTTCACCCTACTGTCAGAATTCACCCAAGTTTCGGTTCTACAGTGCTTTGCGACCGCTCCGTAGCCTTCAAACTCAGAGCCAGGCCTCGCCCAAGCCCAGGCCTATATATATATCAAAATACAACCTCTCTGTGACCCTGCTGCACCAGCTAGCGGTCAACGAAGTACAGCGCCTTAAGCGCAGACTAGGGATCCGAAATGTCTCGCGAGACTGGCCACCGCTACAGTCACGCTGGACGTCGAGTCACACGCAAAATGCTTGTTCTTTCCCGTAAAGTAGCGAACCTCCTACACCCGTCGGGTTCCATGGCCGTTGTCACCAAACGGACCGGCCAACGTTTCTCGCTCATCTCTCGCGCGGATTACCAAGCGACCCTCGCTCCGCAAGGCGTCCCAGCTTCGCAGCGCGAGTCGGAAGTCTCCGTGCAGCTTGTTGGTTTTCACGTCGTTTGTGGATTTTGTGATGGGTTTGTGGTGAGGAATGGGGTCATACGGAATTGCGCTCATCAGAGAGATTCTTCGTCTAGCATGTCGGACGAATGTAGAGAAAGGGGTCAGGGAGCCGTGAGATCACGCACGTCTGTTTCTTTCAGATCCCCACGCCGAACCACTACCGCTGCTGATAACGTCTCGAACCTTGTCTTCCGCACAGGCGATGCGGCTAGAAAAACTCATTTTCGCCGTACGGACGAGACTCGAGTGAGCCATTGCTTGGATGAAGACACGGTCACTGAGACTGACAATACAGTTGGCAGTGACGGAAATGACCAGTCTCGTTGCAATCCAGAAACCCTCATGCAGGATTGGAGGGAGTGGTCCGAAAGGTGGGAACGACGCGTGAAGAGCAGGTGAGGATTCGAGTATGGGTTGCCTGGAGCAAGCTCAAAAAAACGAAAGTGAAGATGCCACGGTTATGAGGAGGAATTGAAGTTGGGTTTCAATTTACTTCAGGAAGGTACTGTGAGAACATTCGTCAGCTGCGTTGCTTTGATTTGGTATACTTGTCTTCTTGATACTCCGGCGGTCTTTTGGGTAATCGGAGCAAACATAGAAGACAACACAAGCGATTACAGGTCTTTGAGCATTTCATCAAAGTTGTGAGTCAAAGTTATACTTGGCCCCAATTTAAAGATCAGGGTTTGGTTGGTTTAGATGTGTTGAACAAGCAATCCTTGATCAAATTACATACATAGCTAGCTCATGATAGTGTAGTTGAGTAACTATAGCATACCCGATGATGCGCGGGCCTAGAGATGAGCCCCCGTGACAATGAGAAAAGTGCGGATTCCCGCTTCCATCAGTAGATGACCCAGTAGCCATTCTTGGGTCCTCGACTTGCGCCGTGGTATAAAACTCTGCCAACCGGGCTGCAAGGATTCATTGTTCCGATATGCAGGTAGTCTGTTGCTGCAGTGGCTCTCCACATTACCATCAACTGCAAGCCCTTTTGGGTCTGGTCCACGGTGCACGCCTGGGATATCTTTGCGCCTTATCTCCTCACGGGTACGTTGCTCTGAAGCCATGCTGGCTGGCCATAGAATCCATGACAGCCGCTAGATGTTGCTCCCGATAAAGCTGCCCGATGGGTACTTGATGTCTCATCCAGTCCTCTTTGGTAGCCCAGCCAGCCTGGCTGAAATTAGATGTGGCCGTTCGAAAACGGACTGCATTGGGTGGTCCTAAGGGAGCTTCCATTATATCAGTCTGAAGAAATGCAGAGGCCAAGAGGGGAACCAGGAATCCCAGTGAGACAAAGCTGGATGGTGGAGTTTTTAAGAGCTTCGAGAGCCTCAATAGTGACGCCTGATGATTTCTGTCAAGTGCTGCGAACAGATCCTAACTGAGAGTGAGTAGTTGGGCTTATCTAAGACGAATGAAGATGAGGCTGCGCGCTTACTGATTTTGCTGCACTGTCAGACAAGGCTCATTGGAAGAATGGAAGTCATATGCATATGCGTAGCTATGTCGAGCGGAGATGCAATGTTCGGGATCCTTATCGGTCCAGCTTACTCTTGGCATGAAAAACGCAGGTTGATCCCTTTTCACACTGCGACTTCTGCGCCTGAAACAGAAGCGCTTGGTTCATCTTTAATTACACCTATTTGCCTCAAGGTCCAATATCATCCTCCACTCAGCTCCTCGGCCCTCGTTACCGTATGCTATCTACATCCCAAAAACCCAGTCCTGCTCTCATCATCATCACAGGGACTCGCGCGTAGAGAGCAGAAGCAGAGTGTGGATTGAAGAGAATTTTGCGTATTGCATCACGCTATCAGCATTCTCGAGGCTCTGAGAAGCTGCTTTCTCTTGTTGGTTTTTTTGCGGACAAAAGCCTGATGTCAATTTCATAATATTTCTTCAATAACCTCCTCCATCATCTCACCTCTCAACATACCCCCCCCCCCCCCACCTCCCCAACCAACCTCACCCCCCCCCCCAACCCCCCACCGCCCCCATCAAACCTCAACAACCTCCCCCCCCCGATCCCCACCCCCTCATACACCACCCCGAACGCCAACCCCTCAAACCGCGCCCTCCGCCCCGTCACCAGCGCCGTCCAGACCAGACTCAACGCCCGCTTCAACCGCTGCCACGTCATCGCCGCCCCCGCCCCGACCGTCCAGGTGCTCAGCACCGTGTCCCCGCCCGCGCTGCGGGCGGCCGGGATGCGGGCGTCCGGGTCGCCGTTGCCGTGCTCGGCCGCGGTCGCGAGGGCGTCGAGGAAGGCGGTGAAGATGTCTTGCGCTTTGATGCGTATGCCGTCGTAGTGGTAGGTGAGGGTGAAGTTGGGGTCTGTGGGGTCGGTTATCGTGCCTGAGTCGGTTGTTAGGGTGGCTGGGTCGTTTGATGATGGGGGTGTTGGGTTCGTCGGTGGTTGTGGTTGGTTATTGTTGGTGGTGTTGTTGGTCGAAGATAGCGTGCTCCGCGGCTGGACTTGCAACGAGCCGACTTGCAGATCCCGGACGTAGAGCGGGGCGTCGAGTTTGGTGAATCGGTTCCCTTGCGCTATCGCCACGCCGGCTTTGTACAGGCCGAGGACCCCGTGGCGTACCTCCAGCGTGCTGTCGTCGAAGGGGTGGAGCGGGTTGAGGACGACTTCGGTGGATGCGTCCGATCCGGACATCACGAGTGAGTGGGTTATGGTGGAGGTCCAGGGGGAGAAGCAGAGGGTGGTCAGCAGTCCCATGGTGTAGATGTAGACTTCGAGTGGTCTGAGCTGCACGCTCGAGTTGAAGTTGAGGCGGACGGAGAAGCCGGGTGGGGGTGTCGGGGCGGTGGGGCTGCCGGGGGGGGATGGTGTCAATTGTGGAGCGCTTTGGGGTTTCGGGGTGCTTGGCTTACTTGGTGGGGATGAGGATGGTGGGCAGACTGTTGTTTGTGGATAATGCTTGGGAGAGGACTGGGACGGATGTTGCAGGGGATAGGGTGAGGTGGTACAGAAGAAGCGCTATGGAGGTTTGGAAGGTCGTCATTCTGGAAACAGCAATTGATGCAATGCCAACGCCGGTTTCAATAACTTAGCACTGGAGAAGAAAGATAATTGTATGATAAGATAGGGTTGTTGCTCGCAGCATCATCGCGTTGCGGATAATCGCCTAGATGTCAAGGCTTCTGGCGACAAGCTGTGGAGCGTTCGGTACTTTGCACGCAATCCGAGTGGGTACCGAGAGACAATTTTTGCAGAGAAAGGGGTTTAGTGTAAGGAAAGGAGGACAGAGAGTTCGGGAGATTGTCTGAGAGGGCCTTGATGCGACCTTAGGTACCTCAATTCCCTAGGCATCCGTGAAAAGGAAAGTCGCGTGGGGAAGAGAAGTTTGATGGTGGATAACATGTTTCCTCTAATAATGTGGGAGAAAAAAAGTCTGCAAGAAAGATAGCAGGAAGGTGTAAAGGTTGGTTTTCGACAACGAAGGTGGAGGCAGAGTGGGCACCACCATTCCTAGTATATGCGGAAGATGCGAGAGCAAGCAGCAGCCTGAAGACGACAGCTCAGAGTGGGCAACGGAGACGTTACACGTAGCCCTTCAGCCGGAGATCGCGTGATGTTTTGTGCACGTGCATGTTCCTTCGGCAAGGCCGACCCCATCAAGATGTGAAAGGCAGAGTTCCGCCGGGTTTCATGACCCACCTAATATTTTCGACTCCTTGGGTGGACTCCGTCTACTCCCCAAAATTGATAGAGTCACCGTAGGGGGTAGAGGTGGAAGCCGCATGAGCTAGGGATAGGAACAACGCGGAACGACTCGTGCTTCTCGCCCCAACACCCAAAGTGAAGTCTAGGCTTGGCGCATCTGCGAGTAGTGAATGTTCGGTGAAATGTAATCGTGAGAAATGTCCTAGCGTGTTTGCGGCTTAATATGTACCTGCTTGCCCACCCATCTACCATCTTCTAAAAGTCTTCCACTCCGCCATTCCCTCTCGTGTCCGCCCAACTCTGCGTCTCCATCACCCTACTCGCTCAACCCCAACGGGTTCTGAGCATCCTGCTTCGCCCCGGTAGCAGAGCGTGCAGTATCTCCGACGCCACCAGTGGTATCTTTGGCCACGTTGCCGACGCCCTTTGTCGCGTCACCCAGAGTCCCAGTTGTGCCCTTGAGGGTGTCACCGAGGACGTTGCCGAGGCCACCGACTGTGGTTGGGTGCGTTGTCAGAATTTTCAACAGCGTACGGGTACATCATAGTCATGCATAGAGAGAGAGAGATCAAGCGAAATTTTGAAGGATCAGACGTGGAAAGAATGGGGTGGGTAGGAAATGTTGATTGAAGAATTCGACTTATAGTGTCGCGATAGTGAAACATGTCTGTAGAGGTGTAAGGAAGAAAAGGGCGAAACAGGATGTACACAACGATCACGCGTCAAGCCGAGAAAGAAACCCAGAAGTCCGATGCGGAGTCCCTTACCAGCGTTACCAGCCGTGTTGGTTACACCTCCTACGCCTTTTCCCACTGTGTCCGCCGTACCGCCGAGGACACCTTACAAGGAAGTGTCAGCACGGTTCTCGCTGAAGGAAATGCGGAAAGGAAGCCTGCCTTACTTCCTACTTTGTCCATTTTGATCGAGTAGGGGTTTGGATGATTGCTGATGTGCGAGTCAGTAGGGTGATGTTGTTGAAAGAAATGAAACGGTGGACATTAGGACTGACTTGGTAAAAAGATGTTTTTCTGGAGATGTATTGATGATGAGGTTTGGATATGATTATCTATACGATTGGTCGTTTGTGTTTGTGTGTTGTATTTGAGGACAAGTAAATACATATGACGTGGCCAAAGAGGGGTCGGGAGGGGTCTTTCTTGCTCCTCACATGATCGCATCGTTTCGCTAAAGTATGCACGATGACCTTAATCGTATGGGAACACATTATACTTAGTATGGGCCACCCCAACGCTAAGGCCGCCTCAATACGGATTTTTTTAATTATTTTACTTACCCACCTATATATATATATATTATAAACTATTATTATCTATTTTAATCTCTCTAGTCTTTTTAATCTTAATTAATTATTTAATTCTTATTATAATAATCTTAAATTACTTAATCTTCTTATTTCTAAATATATTATATATCTAAAACTCTTAGATATTTATTTACTTTAAAGCCTTTAAAGTCTTTATAATCTTTATTTTCTTATATATAATAATTTTATTTCAGATTTAATAAGAGTAGATAATATCTTTCTTTTAAATTATTATATTAAACTTTACTTTATAAGCTACTCAAGTTATTATAATCTATTAAATAATATCTAATTCTCGCTTAGCGAGAAAATCTAAAAGTATCTTCGCTTCTATTTTATAAATATATTTATTAAATAATTAATCGATTAAATATATATTTTATAATTTCTTTTTATATTATATAATTTAATAATAAATATATAATATTAATTAATCTTTAAGATTAGATATTTTTTACTCTAAAGTCTTATTTCTTAGTAAAGAGTTTTTTTATTAAAATTTAATTAAATAATTTAAAATAATAGTAGAATTATAAAGAAAAAGATTTATTTCTCGCTATTTAAATATAATAATTAATCTAATAAAGATTTAATTATAAATTACTTAAAAATTAATTAAAAAATCGAGTTTTAAATAATTATTACTAACTTAATATATTATAATATTAATTCTTTCGATATACTAGTATTTAAATAATTAAAAGATATTTATATTTAATAATTAATATAGATATAAAGAGTGTGAGAGTAAATAGAATAGAATAATATTATTATTCTTTATATATTTAAATATTTCTCTAGTAAAATAATTATTATAATTATTAAATAGTAATAATCTATATATCTTTATATATCTTCTCTTTATAAAATAATTAAAATACTTAATCTAGACTTTATATAGATTATTATTTATATATTTAATATTATTAATATTTTATAAAGTATCGAGATTAAGACTCTCTTAAAATTAATTATTAAGATATTATTTTTTAGTTAAAATTAATATCGAGGAAAGCGTATAATCTAAGCTATTAATATACTCGATTAATATAATATACTCTTTATTATCTATATTTATTTAATAAAATAAAAATTCTCTTTCTTCTATAATAATCTATTAACTCTTACTTATTTTAATTTGAAATTTAATCTTATTAAAGTTATAGATATTCTCTATTTATACTTTAAACTCTTAATAAATATTTTAAAAATATTAAAACTAGTTCTAAATAGCTTCTAATTTATATATATTCTTTTATTAAGCTATAAAAGACTTTTATTTATATATTTTATATTAAGAATTATATCTTAAAAATCGCGTAGATTAATAATTATTTATATATTTAATAAAGCTAAAGCGCTCGCGGAGTATAGAATTTATAGCTCTTTTAAATATCGAATGATGATAAGATATTCTTAATTCATCGAGCTATTATATATATTAATAAAGAGTCTATTCTTTATAATCTATAAGTGCGTAAGAGTAACTATCTTTAAAGAAGATTTTATTATAGCGATTTAGAAGCTAATCGTAAAGTATATTAAATTTAATAATTAATCGAGTAATTTTAGACTTTATTTCGAGAGTAATAGTAATTAAAGCCTTCTAGATATATTTCTAAATAACGATATATAAGTTAGATATAGTTGTAATTATAATAGATAGATAGGGGATGGATGGTTTAAATTATTAAAAAAATTGGTATTAGGGTAACCTTAGCGTTGGGGTGGCCCATACTAAGTATAACGTGTTCCCATACGATTACCATTTTCTTGGCATTGGCAGTCTTTTAAGCAATGCTGGCCTTGGACCACGGGAGCTACCGACAAAAAGTCATCCCTAACTGAAACTATGTCCAGTGCCCACAGCAAGCACCTGTTAGACAAATTCAACACGAAGTCTGATTTATCTATACTTTTGCGTCGTTACTGGCTGCGTAGAGTACACTAGTTATAGAAGTACAGAAATAGGAACGCGCGACTGCGAGGGGTCAAAAGAGTGGGCAACGACGGCCAAGATAGTGGCAACGAGTGTCAAGAACCGGCACAGGTGTGAAGAAAATTGGCCAGAGTCGGCATTTAGACTCCCCCACCAATGATCGCCCAGCATCCTCAATTCGTGACCAAGGAGCGTGTCGAAATGTGGAGTTCCCAGCCATATTTAGAGTTCCCAGCCATATTCCCAGCCACTCTCCGCTATAACCTATGCGTATATCGGCTATATCACTCTATTTCTATAGGATCAAAGATATCCCCTAGAAGATTTTAGAGATAGAATAAATCATCCTTTTATATCACCGTTATTTATATTTTATCCTTTTTAATAGATTATGAGCTCGGAAGCGGGTAGAATAATATTAAATATCTATTCTTTATACTTTCTAATAGAATATTAATTAATACTAATATATAGTAATCTTATATCTATAGACATCTTTATTAATATTACGATAATTCATTTTTTTAACTTATAATTATCGATAAGAGAGCTATCGTAATTTAATTTTATAATAAAAAATCGAGTATTCTATTATTTATAAAGTTTTAAATTTAATCTTATAATAATAGCTACTAAGATAAGCGTTTTAATTTTAAATCTCTAAATAAGTAATATAAGAAGGGTGCTAATTCCTCTTTAAGAAGGAGATTCGTATATTTATAATAACTATACTTCGTATAATTCTATTAGAAATTAGCCTTCGTTATTAAATCGTTTTTATTATTTAATATCTTTTATTAAAATACTCTTATTAATATTATTTAAAGATTTTTATATAAGTATTTTCTATTTTTAATATAAGAATTTAAATCTTAAAGATAATATTTAATCGATATTAATAAGACTTTTAAGAATTCTAACGAAGAGTAGTAAAGCCTTTATTCTATTTTAATTATTTTATTATTACACAATAGCGATTTTAAAATTAACGAGAATATACTTAATTCTTTAAATAATATTAAGTTATTTAATTTCTATACGAAGTTACTACTCTCGCCTTTATTTATTTCTTTTAAAATATCTTTAAACTTATTATTATTATCTCTTTTATCTTCGTTTTTTTCTAAAATAAAAAATAATTATTAATTACGATTAGAAAGATTTATTAAAAATTTACTTATTAATAATTAGAGAGCTAATACTCTTTCTCTTTTTTCTATAAAATTTTTTAAAGTTTAATAAGATTAGCGAGGAGTTAGAGAAGTTTTATTAAACTATTTATAAACTATTTAGAGAGGAGTTTTATACTATTTTAGATTATTATAAGCTACTTATAGAGAAATATCGAAATATAAAGTTTCTAATTATATTTAGAGTTTTTAGTTATATTTCTAATTACTCTTCGCTATAATCTATATATATATTAACTATGTTACTTTATTTCTATAGAATTAAAGATATTCTCTAGAAGATTTTAGAGATAGAATTAATTATCCTTTTATATTATCGTTATTTATATTTTATTCTTTTTAATAGATTATAAACTCGAAAGCGGGTAGAATAGTATTAAATATCTATCCTTTATACTTTCTAATAGAATATTAATTAATACTAATATACGATAATCTTATATCTATAGACATCTTTATTAATATTACGATAGCCTATTTTTTTAACTCGTAATTATTAACGAGAGAGCTATCGTAATTTAATTCTATTATAAAAAATCGAGTATTCTTATTATTTATAAAGTTTTAAATTTAATCTTATAATAATAGCTATTAAGATAAGCGTTTTAGTTTTAAATCTCTAAATAAGTAATATAAGAAGGGTGCTAATTCCCCTTTAAGGAGGAGATTTATATATTTATAATAATTATATTTTATATAGTTTTATTAGAAATTAGCCTTCGTTATTAAATCGTTTTTATTATTTAATATCTTTTATTAAAACGCTTTTATTAATATTATTCGAAGATTCTTATATAAGTATTTCTTATTTTTAATATAAGAATTTAAATCTTAAAGATAATATTTAATCGATATTAATAAGATTTTTAAAAATTCTAATAAAGAGTAATAGAGTCTTTATTTTACTTTAATTACTTTATTATTACGTAATAGCGATTTCGAGATTAACGAGAATATATTTAATTCTTTAAATAATATCGAGCTATTTAGTTTTTATACGAAGTTATTACTCTCGCCTTTATCTATTTTTTTTCGAAGTATCTTTAAACTTATTATTATTATTTCTTTTATTTTTATTTTCTTCTAAAATAGAAAATAACTATTAATTATAATTAGAAAGATTTATTAGAGATTCACTTATTAATAATTAGAGAGCTAATACTCTTTTCCTTTTTTCTATAAAATTTTTTAAAATTTAATAAAATTAGCGAGAAGTTAGAAGTTAGAGAAGTTTTATTAAACTATTTATAAACTATTTAGAGAGAAATTTTATACTATTTTAAATTATTATAAGCTGCTTATAGAAAAGTGTTAAAATATAAAATTTCTAATTATATTTAGAATTCCCAGCTATATTCCCAATTACTCTCCGCTATAACCTATATGTATATCAACTATATCACTCTATTTATATGGGGTCAAAGATATCCCCTAGAAGATTTCAGAGATAGAATAAATCATCCTTCCACATCACCGTTATTCACATTCCATCCTTTTTGACAGAGCGAGCAGAAGTGGTGCGACTGTCTTCTGCAATGTTTGTATTCGATCCAGGCAGAGTCGATGAGGTAGGCGTTGATTTGATTGCCGGGCGTTGCCGACTAGACTCGGGCTTGATGGCGGTCTAGTTTGCCTGACTTGACCTATCCTTCTTGAGTCTTGACGAAATGACCTTTGAACTTGTCCTTGCGAGTTAAACCATTGTTATTATTGATTACGATTACCCTATACAGAAATCTGAATACCATGAAAGACTCCTCTAGCTTTCCCCGACAGCTCCGCCTTTTATTTCGGTTGGCATACGTTGACATCCTCATCGCCAAAGACTTCGCGACGGGAGATGCCGGACGCCGGCTTCGCATAGCACGCTACGTCCGGGTTCCCGGTGGGCATATCCTCTCCCACCATCTGGTCGTTGAGCGAAAGGATGCTGTCCTTCGAAACGTGATCGCTGTCCGTCAACTCACTGACCCGGAATTTCGAATCGATGAAACCGAGGCCGTCGATCGCCACGTCGAGGACGTCGTTCATCTTTTGCGAAACACACTGCTCCTCGCCACAGTCACCGCATTTGGCGACGAGGCTTTTGATGCCCCAGTAGAGGCCGGAGAAGTCGCTGCCCACCTTGTCGCCGATCCAATTCGTGTCGACGTAGAAACCCGCGAGGTTGAGGAAGGCGTAGATCCCCGTTTTCAAATCCATGGTGAAGCCAAAGGCGTTCTCGAACGCTTCCTCCTGCTCTGTGGGCTCGCCGTCTTTCTGTTCGCCGCCTTTGGGCTCGGTGCAAGCACTGGTGACGTCTGTTTGATAGAGGTCAGGTTTGCGGAGTGCGATGGCACGGGAATGGTTCAATTCGAGTCTTTCTCAGAGAGGGCAGGGGGGCCGCTTACTTTTATACTCCGACCACTTATTATCAACCCTAACGACGTCAAGCCTAACCCCAAACCCGATCCCGAGGTCACCCTTTGGAAGTCCAATGTTGATGCCAGCTTTGGGCCCGACGGCGATGTTGTAGTGGATTTCGGTGGATTGAATGGACAGGTCTGCTTTCAATATCTCGATGATGGGGTCGAAGTTGGTGGTGTGAATGGGGCCCCCATCTTCGCCCCCCATTACATCAATCTCGAATTCGGACCCGACCGGAATCGTCGCCTCAAACCCCGGCAGAGTCCTACATGATTAGCCGACATGCCACCTTTGTGTCGTGTAGATGGATGGGCTTACAGGTTGACTTGGGTCGAAATGCCAAGATCCATCCAAACATATATGCCGACGTCCATGGGCCAGATGGAGTAGCCCCAGGACTTCGCCATGTCATCAAGCATTCAAAATACGACGGGATGAAAAAACTCACACTGGTCTTGCCAGAGCCCGCCTTCGGATCCCCAACCTCTTTTGGGCCCGTCGCCTTTGCACGAGCAGCTTTATCCTCCGGAGCAGAGGACGGTTCCCACTGTAGGCCTCCTCCGGTGTATGCAGGGGTGCATGACATGGTACCAGGAGGAGCGGTACCGACGAGGGCTACATTGCAGAATAAGTCCGCTCCCACATTCGAGAGAATTTCGATTTGTTTCCGAATCTTGATTTCATCGCTCACGCTGTATTTGACGAAAGCGCGCTTGATGTGGTTCTTAAACATTTCGCGGAAGTCACCTTCATCATCATCATCATCATCATCATCATCATCATCATCATCATCATCATCGCGGCGGCTGTGGTGATGGTCGTCATCATCCTCTTTATCGTCGTTCTCATCGTCGTCGTCAGACCCACTGACCGGATTGAAAATGATATGAAACTCCTGGTCGACCCCACCGGTGGTCCTACATTCCAGGCAGTATAACTCAAATAATTCGGGGACCCCTGTGTTCTCTTTTAATTTGCTATATCCATGTCAATACCTTCCTGAGAAGCCGCTAGAAAGAAGGGTTTCGATTCGCTTACTCTGGTGGCCAATACTTCTTGCGCGGCTCGTTTTCTTCGCTGTCGAAACTGATGTGTTTGTCTGGGCTATCGAAATCAAGATTAAGGTGTTTAATGATGCACCTCTTTAGGTGTTTGAGACACTTGAGAGCATTCCCCACATGCGGCCAACGGTCCTGTTTACTTGTCATACGAGGAGTCAGAACGACATCTCGGGGTGCCCTGCCAACAACTAGTTCAGTAGGCGCAGGAAAGTGCCTGTCTCCGAAACGCAAGGGTTTGCCAATGACCCGGATAATCTGTAAAGCATCGTCGAATGCAATAGACAATGACCTTAGATTGGTCAGCTTTTGACTCTGAGGGAATTATAGACTGCGTTGATGGAGCTTACTTGAACGAAGATCGCTCCTCTTCCGGAGCGTAACAAGAAGGGTCGTGACCGATAAAAACGAGCCTCGTTTCCCCTGCCCATCTCTCGCGAGCGGCAAGATAGAGCGCACGATCCAGAGGGAAAGTCAGTACTGTGGTTTTGTTATCCGGCGTGGGCGTGCAAAGTCTCTCTTGGGGCCGCAGGTAGTCTTCGAATTTCTCGAAATTCACATATTTGCGCTTCGAAGCTTGATGGATTGATTTGATGACGGTCTTCGGATCGTCTAACACAGAACGTGGAATTCGTTAGAAACTTTTCATCTGAGGCTCCAATAGGAGTTTATTCAATCTCACCCCCAACCGTGTAGAAGGACTCCTCGTCCGTGGGGTCGAAGATCGAGCCATTGGTCGGAATCGATCTGGACAGTAACGGTGTCTTCGGTCGAGGTCGAAGAGCAACCTGCCCTCCGTTGATAAGGTTGAGTTGACCAAGAAAGACCAGCAGTAAGGAGAGGAAGTTGGTGAGTTTCATCTTGGAAACCCTCGGTGCGAATTTTCCAGCTGGGGATAAAGGAGAAAGAATCTTTCGGAGCAAGCGGATTCATGCCTTTTGAATGTTCGTTGGTCCGTGATAAGCCAATCTGGAACTTTCATTCTTGGACGCATCGTGAAGAACCCAAGTCAAGACGGCGTGAACTCTTGCCCGTTCCAGCAGCGTTGAGTGAATTATGTGGGGTCCTTGGCACTGTTGAAAAAACGCCGCTATCAAGAAAGATACGGACATATCCAAGATAGAGAGCTTTTCAAAGCGAGATGATCGAGATAATCAAGAACAGCAGTGGGTGGAGTGAGCAGAGACAAGTGCGATGGTGGATTCGAAGACGGTGGGGGCTTGATTTCAGCCACTGATAGATAGTAGTGGGGAAACCGAGATTTGGTTCTAGTCCGATGGTGTTTTTGAGTGGAGAACGAACAGATAACAGGAGAAGTGTGTATCACGATAGAAGGAAAGGGACGCCATCCCTGGTAACATTCACCTTCGTATATCGAACGGGGAGCAAAAAAGCCCGTACACCCTAAATTATTCGACAGGGTCGCAATTTACTTATCAGCCACGACTGTAACGAAAAACCTTTTGCGGTACAAAGAGTAGATAAAGAAATTCTAAAGAGTTCTTGTCCTCAAATTATCAGCCAGAACTCATTCGTTGCGAATTTATCAAGACCTTCGTAGTTCAGGCGTGCGGGCTTTTTCTAAAAATCTCAAGATGTCAGCGTTCAACTTTGCAGTGATTTGCATGCGAGTGCTTTCCGATGAGACGTCCTGGAAATTGACGGTCGAAGGGATGGTGTCCATGATGCACAAGACCGAGGTTTCAATCGCGTGGTGGATGGATGGCGGAAGGAGAGTTTGAGATCCCGGGGGGGATGCTCAAGTTGCCCGGGGACAAGTTCTACGAAATCCGGTATGGGAGGGGGCTCATCGTTTCGAATCCGGAGGATTTGCGGTTTTGAAAAGGGAGTGCGCGGAGACAGACGTTCGAGGGGAGATGGGGGACGAGGAGACGATTTCCTGAAATTCGATGAGGGTTCGGTGGTAGAATCAAGATCAGGATCAGGGGAATAATTCAAGGCTAGCTAGCAATCGTTATTTTACAAGGCACAAAACTCCCTAGCTCTCCATGCTTGCACTAATCGATTCGTCCTTTGTTCCCTTTAGATTCCTTCGCTAAGCCCCACTCCTATATACTTGACTCCCTCCATTCCGAATCTGCACCGTCTCCCTTCTCTGCAGCACCACTAACGCCCTGTTCAAAGCTTGCTCGCTCCATCCCCTGCCCTCCACCAGCTCCCTCCTCAACGTCGCCAGACTCGTGCTCCAACCTACGGGCAATCTCCGCCTCAACTCTTCTTCGACCTTGCCCGCCTCCTCCATCACCTCTCTACTCCCCTGCCCTTCTCCTTGCGTCACTGCGTCCATCGTCGAAGCTAAGAACAGGCGAATGGCTTCATCGACGTGAGATTCAAGGGCGATTGGGGAGAGTGAGAGTTTGGCAAGGGATTCTGTGATACGGATGATGGCTTCGAGTTGGCGGACCGTGATTGGAATACTGGAGCGGGCGTTGGCAGATATCTCGGCGGAATGGACTTGTCGGCGTATGGAGACGAAATGGGAAGAGAGCTTTTCGCCGGCTTCAGGGGAGAGGCGAGGCGCGCAGCGTCTGCATACTGGCTCAGCAGGGGCCAAAGAAGAGGGCGAAATGTGAGATGGAAAAGGGGCCTTACGATTTACAATAGCTGATATACCGCTTCATTTTTTCAACCGATATCTCAGCTTCTGCTTGCTCTTCCATTCCTCGTCCGCCCATCTGGATGCCCATCACATGTCGCGCTATCCGCTCATCTCGTCCCTTCTCATGCTCATCGCGCACGATGAAGATCATGTCGAAGCGAGATAAGATAGTGGTTTGGAAATCGATGTTCTCGCCCGGCGTCTTTAGATCGTCGTATCGCCCAAAAATTGGATTAGCGGCCGCAAGCACCGATGTTCTGGCATTCAGGATGGTCGTGATACCAGCTTTGGCGATAGAGATGGTCTGCTGTTCCATAGCTTCGTGGATGGCTACACGATCTTCATCGCGCATTTTGTCGAACTCGTCAATGCAGACCACACCGCCGTCGGCAAGCACCATAGCTCCTCCTTCAAGGTAGAACTCGCGGGTATTGGTATCCCGTTGCACCGATGCTGTCAGACCAGCTGCTGAGGACCCTTTGCCAGATGTGTAGATGGCGATTGGTGCGACTTTCTCGACAAATTTCAAAAGCTGAGATTTCGCTGTTCCAGGATCACCAAGTAGCAGGACGTTGATATCACCTCTAAGTTTCATACCGTCTGGCAGAATCTTCTTGGATCCACCCAGGAGTAAGCAGGCGATAGCTTTCTTGATATCCTTGTTGCCGTAGATTGAGGGTGCAATACACTCGGCGAATCTTTCGTAGAGGTCAGGTCGTCTACTCATCTCGAGGAACTCTTGCTCTTCCTCTTCAGAGAATATTGCGCTGCCTTTGGTCGTGTGATCGACGTCTGTTGTGATGCCTACCGCTCGTAGATACGGTGTTCGGATGGCTACCGCGGAGTTTCCTGATCCTTTCGATTCCTTGTTTTGGTAGATAGAGAAGACCCCCATGAGGGTACACCTTGAGCCAGGTACCACGCGGTTAGTTAGATATCGATCGGCAGAGATCTTGATGTGTCTTGGAAGTTCTCCCACAGGTACTTGATCTGGCGCTTCTTGTAGCTTCAGTATCTGCTGGTCGATGAATTGACATTTCTCATGTACCACGAAGTAAGGATCTAGAGGGCATTTGTCTGTTGGATCTCCAGGCGCCCTCTTGCTGGAGCATACGCGCGGGAGTGTGATGCCCGATATCCCACCACTTACGGGCAACGTTTCCGAGTGCTGGCAGTTTCGGCATTGTATGTAGAGTGCTGTGGCTTTGGAGGAGAGTGTGGAGGCACCAATGACTATTCCAGGTATGCGGACAAGGTGAGATATGTTGGTCGCGTCCAAATCGCGGATGGAAATCTGGGAAACGGAGGAGTGTAGGAGAAGCTGGTGCTCGGGTATGGAGAGGTCGCTGGCTTTTTGTGAGGGGAAGACGATGCGACGGGTGCATTCCTTGAGAGCGGCTTCGAACTGCAAGCTATTAGCGACTTCCTAGAAACCATTCGCGCAAACGGGCGTACTAATGGTATGATGTCTGCTGGCTGTGTAGTGAGCTTATGCGCCAGCTCTTCGTTATAAGATATGAGGTGGGCTATATCGACGTCGCAGTAATATTGTTTCACTAGAACATTCTCTCGAATCTGATCTCTGAATCTCAACATCAGCAGCTGGCCAGCGAGCCCTACATGTTGGCAAACCTGTAGATGAAGGCATTGTCGAGCCGGAACTCTAGGATGAACTCGCGCAAACGGGCTTGTGTTTGGCTTCTGGAATCTTCACTGGCATCTGGATCTGGAGCAAGGACGCTGAGTGAGTAGACTGATTGTCGGTCCATTCTCGAAGATTATCTGATGTTTAGTAGAAGGCGACGAGCAGGAGAAGACGGATGGGCAAGGAGAATTGGGATGTCGCGCGCTGTGGAGAAACGCGACTTTTCCACGCGTAAAGTGGTTTCTGACCCGAAGTTTCGCCGATTGGCTGTTCTGACTTGCCTTCGAGCCGCAGGTCACGTGCTCAGGTCATCTCTATTGCGGATACGAGAAGCCTGAGCTTACCGGTCCCTTGCGGACGGAGATGGACGCTGCAGGTCACATTAGAACTGACGGTGCAGACTCCACGATGGGCATTGGACTCTGGGCGGGGAATGTATAGATAGGGGGGTTTAGTGGTATTTTTGGCTTGCGCATTTGTTCTCGTGTCTAAACAGGTAGTACACCACGGTATGGCCAATTCGATTATACGGCGATATGACTCAGTCGGTCTGGATGGAGCGCTGCTGGGGCTGACTGTTTCTTGCAAGGGGTCCTACGTTACTGTTGCCTAGACCGCCCTCAAGGCAAGGCACGGGAGTGAAAAGAAGCCGTTCTTTTGGGTAATATAATATCGAGTTCATCAACACGATGGATCGATTCAGTATGTTACCATTCGAGCTACGTATGCGCATATACTCGTGCTATTTCAGGGACCATAACGGCCATTTTTGCACGCTGAAGATAGTTCGAGGAGAGACAGGTCATAGTAAAGCTACGGAAAAGCTTACTCGAACAATCTTACACACTGCATTCAAGCTTAAATAACGCGCACAAGTACGGCAAATATTGCAGAATTGCTACAATAGATTCAGAGCACAGCATCCGCCCTTTCCAAAATGAATGGGGTGGACGAGTCCGAGAGAATAGAGAAGCTCATGCGGTTCCCGGCCGTCATTCGTTATAGTCGTCCTATCGCTGAGCTGAGAAGAGTGAGGGACGGACAGGGTTTCCGTTTGAGGTCCAGCCAACAGATTCGTGTTGGCGTTTTCTCGACCTAGCACACATCAATCAGCGCATACTCGTGGACCTTCTCTTGACCTCCTCATTCGATCTTTGCGGCGACATGGAAGTGCTCAATGAGCTTTTTCCCAAGATGGGCTTAGAGTGTCGTGGATCGATCGTTTTCATCCATCTCGCGTGTTGTGACGGGGACCCAAATTCCTTTGAGGTCGAGCACCTCAAGTCTGCCGAACCTCAAGACCGTCTATGTTCCGGAGTGGTTCACCTATGGTCTGGGCTGGTTCAAAGAGAGAGGGGGGGTGAGTTGGAGTATAGCGATCCAACGACAATGAGCTATCGGGTTGCATCCGCTCCATACGTCCACCGTATAATGGAGCATCCCGGTATCCGAATTGTGCTGTATCGTGATCAGGATCCGGAGTCGGTCGAGCAGACTGTTCGACCTGGGAATTGGCGGGAAGTAGGCCGCGATACTATAGAGGCGGAAGAGCATCGAGATAGGATGTGAGTTTCTGCGAGCCGCTGGGGCATTGCGATCGCTTGCCGCTGACACTATCTGTGTTTAGAAAAAACTTCCTCAGGATCTCGCGTATAGGTCCGCATCTGTACGTTTTCGAGCCAATTGCCGAGTCCACTGCGGCTGTGCCAGTGGCCGGTCCCAGTGCTAAGATGCAAATACGAGTTTGACATCGGAATAGAGATATTACGGAGAGGTGTACTTAAGTCATGCGTTTGCTGGCGCTATATCACCATATCAATCGTGGATTGCTGGGGTCAGATGAACTATCAGTAGGGAACAGCCCGGGGAACAGCAGGGATTTTAGAGTATTCTGGTTTAAGCTTCAATGGACTTGAATCAAAAAGGATGAAGGGTGCAAGTGTATTCGGTTGACACAAACACTTCGGAGAGCGAGGCCATCGGCTATTTTGCGAATGCAGAGCGCGATTCTCGTCTTGAACGCTTCTATCTAGTACCTATTGTTATTCTTCAGGATAGCAGCGAGTCTCACGTTACCCCTTCCCTGCTCCACTGGCTGGTTATCGTCACCTTCGTCATGCCTGACCCCAGCAAGTTCCCTAACTACTGAAGACCGGTAATTGTCACTCCGAAGTCGCATTTGCAGGCGCCTCTCCAGTCCATGGCGGAACGTAGTCAGCCCTAGTCCCATTGAACGGATCCAACACCCAACGCGACCCCTTCAGCTGACGAGCTGGGGTATGTAAGGTTCTTCAGAGGAGTTTAGGCCACCGCAGCAGACATTGAATTTCTTCTGAAAGACGAGAAGTAATCCTTGCACTGAAGGTTTCATGATACGTCGTCTCGTTGTCAACTTACAAAGATTGATGAGGATGAAATTCTGCGATTTCGGCGTGTCCCTAGAGTAGTGCATTTTTTTCATCGCCTCCAAGTGGAGATCTCGGAGAGATCTCTAGCTCAGCCCTACGAGAATGGAACTAACATGGCAGGGACGGGATAGAGGACCTTGTATCCTTCCCTCTTCCTCGCTTGTGACTACATGTCTCACGTGAGACCTACTCTCTACGCTCGTTCTGTAATCCTTGCGAGCGCTGTGTTGTATGGTCCTGCGTGCTCTCGTAGCGCAACTCTCACTGCGAGAACGCTCACTCTACGACTCCGCTTTGGGACATCCCCCATACGTTCTTTTGCCAGGATGCCTCCCATAGAGCGCGTCACAGACAAGCTGGAGGCTCCAGCGCTTGATGATCGATCCTACAGAGTCATCAGACTTCCAAACAAGCTCGAAGCTCTTCTCGTCCATGATCCAGACACAGACAAAGCTGGCGCGGCTGTCAATGTGAACGTTGGAAGCTTTAGCGATGCAGATGATATGCCAGGTATGGCCCACGCTGTGGAGCATCTCCTCTTCATGGGCACGCAAAAGGTAAATCTACTGCTTATATTCTAGCAATTGCTAATCGTCATCAGTACCCCAAAGAGAACGACTACAATGAGTACCTCTCAGCCCATTCTGGATACTCCAATGCCTATACTGCAGCTACGGAAACAAACTACTACTTTGAAGTAGCCGCTTCTACAGAAGTTGATTCGGGGAATGCCACAAACGGCTCCCCATCGCCGCCACTCTATGGAGCCCTTGATCGATTCGCCCAATTCTTCATATCACCCCTCTTCCTCTCCTCTACTCTCGACCGCGAACTTAAAGCAGTCGATTCAGAGAACAAGAAAAATCTACAAAGCGACAATTGGCGACTATCGCAGCTCAGCAAGTCCCTGTCAAGCAAGAAGCATCCATATCACCATTTTTCTACAGGCAATCTAGCCACGCTCAGAGATGAGCCAAGGAAGAGAGGCGTAGATGTGCGGAAAGAGTTCATACGGTTCCATGACAAGCACTACTCGGCGAATCGGATGAAGCTGGTGGTGCTAGGGAAGGAGTCCTTGGATGAATTGGAGACGTGGGTTGGCGAATTATTCGCTGGCGTTCACAACAAGGATCTGCCACAAAAGCGATGGGATGGACTGCAACCGTTAACAAAAAATGAGTTGATGACACAAATCTTTGCGAAGCCCGTCATGGACCAGCGAACACTGGACATTTGCTTTCCATACCAAGACGAGGAGAACTTGTACGAATCACAGCCAAGCCGCTACATTAGTCACCTAATTGGACACGAAGGTCCGGGCAGTATTCTTGCATACACCAAGGCCAAGGGATGGGCCAATGGCCTTTCCGCAGGGCCCACGTCTGTGTGTCCTGGGTCAGCGCTTTTCCAAGTCTCGATCAAGCTGACTGAGGAGGGTCTGAAGGTCTATCGGGAAATTGTGGAAGTTGTGTTTCAGTACATATCTCTGATCAAGGAGAGTCCGCCTCAGAAATGGATTATCGACGAGGTCAAGGGCATGTCAGAGGTTGACTTCAAATTTCAGGAGAAGAGCTCTGCGAGCAATTTCGTCAGGACAATGTGCAGCACAATGCAAAAGCCTCTGCCTCGAGAGTGGCTTCTCAGTGCCACAGATCTGATACGGAAGTTCGACGGAGACGCCATAAGCACAGCCCTGGGATATCTCAAAGCAGACAACTACAGACTCACCATCGTCAGCCAACAGTATCCCGGTGATTGGCCCATGAAGGAGAAGTGGTACGGAACAGAGTACAAAGTCGAAAACATCAGTCCCGACTTTGCCGCTGCGGTCACAAAAGCTGAAGAGGTCACATCAAAAGACCGAATACCAGAGCTCCATCTCCCACACCGGAACGAGTTCATACCATCAAAGCTGACAGTCGAGAAAAAGGAGATCGCAGAGATCTTGAAGGCTCCAAAACTCATTCGCAACGATGAGCTTGTTCGCACCTGGTGGAAAAAGGATGATAAATTCTGGGTGCCCAGAGCAAACGTTTTTGTTACTCTGCGAAATCCATTGGCTGCAGCACTCCCATCAAATTCTGTCAAGACGAGGATGTTCTGCCAGCTTGTCAAAGATGCCCTTGGTGAATATTCATACGACGCGGAGATAGCCGGTCTCGAATATGAACTCGGGGACTATTACGTTGGTATTGGAATCGACGTGAGTGGGTACAACGACAAGATATCCGTGCTGTTGGAGAAGGTTCTTGTGACTATGCGTGACCTAGAAGTGAAGCCGGATAGGTTCAAGATCGTGAAAGAGCGAGTACTAAGGGGCTATCGCAACTGGGATTTCCAGCAGCCCTATCACCAAGTCGGCGAGTTCACTACATGGCTCGGTTCCGACAAAGCATGGATCAACGAACAATACCTAGCTGAGATTGCGCACCTCACCCCTGAGGACATCTCAAGTTTCTATCCTCAACTGCTTCGCCAGGTGCATCTTGAAATACTCTGTCATGGAAACATCTACAAAGAAGACGCTCTTCGAATAACCGACCTTGTCGAATCTACCCTTAAACCGCGCGCGTTACCCGTGACGCAATGGCAAATGGCCAGGAATTTGATACTCTCACCAGGTAGTGACTATACGTTCGAGCGGAAGCTAGGCGATCCCGCAAACGTCAACCATTGTATTGAATATTATATCTTTGTTGGAGACGTTGTTGACAGGATCTTGAGGGCGAAGCTTCTACTTTTAGGGCAGATGACGGAAGAGGCAGGCTTTGATCAATTACGAACGAAGGAACAGCTTGGCTACATTGTTTTTACGGGCGTAAAGATGCAAGCGACGACGATGGGCTACAGAGTGATCATCCAGTCCGAGAAACCAACAGAATACCTCGAGGAGCGGATCAATGCATTCTTGGCACATTTTGGGAAGTCGCTGCAAGCCATGTCGACAGAAGACTTTGAGAGCCATAAAAGCAGTCTTATCGCGAAGCGGCTGGAGAAGATCAAGAACCTTGACCAGGAGAGTTCTCGGTTTTGGAGCCACATCAGCAACGAATATCTCGATTTCTTATCACGGGAACACGACGTCTCGCACCTGAAGCCATTGACCAAGTCGGACCTCATTGACTTCTTCAACCATTACATCAACCCTACATCCCCATCTCGTGCCAAACTTTCGGTACACATGATTGCGCAATCATCGCCTAAAGAAGTAGCAGGCCACGTCTCCCCGGCTGAACAAAAGGAGAAGGTTGTGACTACGCTTGGAAAATACTTGACCGCCATGGGGATCGATGCCGACCAAGAAAAGCTCACTAAACGTTTTGATGGCGTGGATGTTACAGGTGGAGACCAAGCCGGCATTATTGATGCTGTTGCCAAATATCTCGATGAAGACGTGGAGATGGGTGAGGAGGAGGCAAACGGTGTCTTGGCGCAAGGGCAGCAACTACTGGGAACCGTCTTACCCAGTTTGGGTATTGAAGTCAAACAGTCCGTCGACGGGGTGGACGGCATGGAGGATTTGCCCGAGGCACCACCTGTTAAGAAGAGTACGCTCATCGAGAACGTACGCGAATTCAAAGCTGGGTTGCAGCTGACAGCAGGACGCAAACCCGTAACCGATCTGAGCGAGTTCTTGGATACCGAGTCCAAACTGTAGCGGCCAAAATCCCTGCAAAGTTGAGGGCGACATGCACTAGACCCAGAAGTTCTATCGTTGGGAATGAACATTGCTGGCATGCCACCTTGCGGAAAGAGTCTTCGTCAAGATTTAGAGCATCAGGTATAGACACCTCTCGAATCCTGTGATATCAGTCCTATAAAAGTCGCATACCTAGAACTCTGGGACGCTCGGGCGACAAGGTTTTCTAGATTTTGGTTGTAGCGCAGGAAGTTTTGCGGCTTTTGCGCCAATGAGGTTTAGATTCGGTCAATAAGACGCTAAGCAAGACTTGGCTAGCCTAGAATCTCTTCTCCTCTGGTCCTTCCTTGATTTAATGGATCACTCGTAGAACTTGTGACTATGCCAGCTGTATATGATCGCTGACATACGGAGAGGTTATGTAGGTGCAGGAACTATACAAGGTTCTCCATCTTCGATTTTTCTAGCAAGAGATTATCGCATACGTCAGAGGTGGGGAAGCTGCTGGGCTGGGTAAAGTGTGAATAGGCTAAGTGAAGTATCTCATCTTCAATTTTCGATTCCCAGCAATACGCGATGATATCTAAACCATTTCACCTTCGACTCCTTCTTCTCTCTCATCCCTCCACAACCCGTCCAACATGTCCAACCCCAACCCCACCCTCTTCTTCGCCGGCCTCGGCGCCATGGGCTACGGCATGGCCACTCACCTCCTGCGCTCCGGCTTCCCAGTCATCGGCTACGACGTCTACCAACCCTCCATGCTCAGGCTCGTCGCCGAAGGCGGCGCCTCGGCTAACACGCCACGCGAAGCGGCCCGAGATGTCGACTTCATGCTCGTCATGGTCGCGAACCACCTCCAAGCCAGCCCTCTCCTTTTCGACCCCGTCGCCGGCGCCGTGGCCGCTCTGAAGGAGAACGCGACCATCATCGTCTGCTCGACCGTCGCGCCCGCGTATATCAATGAGCTCGAACGGCGTTTGAACGAGCTGCGTCGGTCGGACATCCGCCTCATCGACGCCCCCGTCTCCGGCGGCGCCGCCCGCGCCGCTACCGGCTCCCTGTCCGTCTTCTCCTCCGGCGCCCACGACGCCCTTTTCGCGCCCCACGTCCAGTCCATCCTCGCTTGCTTGAGCGACGGTAGGAAACTCTACCACGTCCCCGGCGGGCTCGGCGGCGGCAGCAAGGCGAAACTGATCCATCAGATCTTCGCGGGAGTGAACATCGCCATGGCGAGCGAGGCGATGGGTCTGGCCGCCGCGGCGGGGCTGGACACGAAGAGGGTCTTTGAGGAGCTGCGTCAGGGCGAGGGCGCCAGTTGGATGTTCGGCAACCGGGTGCCGTTTATGCTGGAGCCGGGTCTCGGGCGGTACAGCGCCGTCACGATCATCGCGAAGGATGTGGGCATCGTTGCGGGTACGGCGAGGGCGGAGACGTTCCCGCTGCCGATGGTGGCGGTGGCGGAGCAGTTGTTTTTGAGCGCCATCGGTGCGGGGTGGGGCGCCGAGGACGATTGCGTCGTTGTGAGGTTGTACTTGCCCGGGAGGCCGCGTCTGGTGACGGAACGGGCTGGTAAGGCGTCTGAGGGCTCCTTGGACCCAACGTCGACGATCAATGTGGATGATATCACGGATTTAATGGTCGGGGTGCATCTCGCCGCTATGAGCGAGGCGATGGCTTTCTGTGAAACGTTGGGCGTTGATTCGGCGTTGATGTACGATATCGTGAGTAATGCCGCGGGCGCGAGTAATGTTTTCGGGAAATATTTCGGGCGGATGAGGGAGAGGGGGTGGGGGTTGAAGGGGTTGGAGGGTGTGAGGGAGAGGCTTGTGAGTGCTACGTTCTTCCGCTACTGCTGGAATGTTTTCTTGAGAGAGGAAGCGCTGACGACGATGATGCGTACAGACGAACGCGGTAGCCAAAGCCGGCGAGCTGAGATACCCGCTCTATCTCTCCTCCGCCGCCTTGCAGGAGTTTAATCGACAGTTGCGGTGATGGGTTGCGCGCCAGATGGCAACCGTGGATTTTTATCTATTACATATTTTCCTAATCAGCCCCAGGGGAAGTCTATCCCATGCAATCATTCCGTCCTCACTCACTGCAACCTTCCGCTACCGATGCTAAACCCTCGACTCGCACCATCTCACCTTCTACCTGTCCATTCCCCATCCCATCAACCCACACTTCATAAATCCATAGATGCATCTATGTTCCAGAAACTCCCTACGTTATCAACGCCCGTCCCGTTCCGTTCCGTGTCGGTGCGGGCAAGCAGCGTAATGACAGTGTCCATCTGTCGCTCTGTAGACCGACTGACCAAGAACTGGGCAACGGCTCTTTTCTTGATGTCGGCGGTAACGTGTAGAGGTTGATGCTGGCTCTGTTGATGATGTTGAGATGGACGGAGATGGGGGGGTGTGGCTTGTAGCCCGTCTTCTTTGCCTCTGTCCTTCTTTCGTTTTGCTTCCTTCAATCTTTCAATCTTTCCTCCTTTGCTTCTTCCGCTGCTTGAGCGTGCATAACATAATTCATCTCGACTTGAAAGTCATGCCGCCCGTGAAAGACGCGCACATGATTGATCCGCGCCCGACTATCCCGCGTCAATCGGGCGAATATGCAGGGCTTTTCCTTTGGTCTCTCTGTCGAGAAGGACGTATGAAAAGTCTTGGAGTCATGGTAGCAGGCGAGGTCCACTTGTCCACTGTCCACGAACAACAACAGTAAAAAGACTAGCTCTGGCGATAGGGGTACTGGTACGTGGCTTTGTTCGACTCGGTTTCCGGGTGGATTTTCGCGCCGATTCGCGAGTGCGCGCGTGCGGTTCATGATGATTGACTCGAGCGGAAGGTTCTGGTATGTGCTGGTTTTCGGATGCTGTGACGGTCGCGGACTAAGAGGGTTGAGGGGGTGCACATGTTTGCTTTTTCTAAAAGACGAGGAAACGACTCTTGCGATATACGAAGTATGGATGCGGTCGGATCGGTGTCAGGGTCGTCTACGAGATCATTTCGTCTCTCGAGAGGATAGCTTGTGAGCCGGCAGAACGATCCCTCTGATGGCCGTATCCGACGCTGTATTTATAGGACATTCTGAAGACCGGCGGATCGATGGTGGTGATACGGCGTCTGGAAAAGGACTTTCAGCACTTGGTCTCGGCGAGAAGATAGATGTCAAGGATTTGGGGCGTCCGCGGATTGTGTGCAGCGACAGTGCAGTCTCTTGCCTGTTAGTGGTTGGCCAATCAAAGAGATGTATGTATCGTAAGACGAAGCGCAAGGATGAGAATGAGAATGTCTGACTTTTCAGATGCCGGGCCAAATGGTTGCTGTCGATGAGAGTATCAATATCGCAGCCAAGTTCTCCGACGGAAACTTCACATGCACAGATGGTGGCTTGTAAGAGAAGCGATGACAGAGCGAGATATCAAGAGAAGAAGTCTGTTTTGCAAAGGCGTTTGTCTCCCTCTAGCGCCAATCTTCCTCACCTGCGTCGAGAGAAGTAGCAGGTCTTATCTCAGGCGCAGCGAGTCCTGTCTCCTCCATTCTGAAAAAGCCGTAGTATCCCCCCAACCTCACAACCTCGCCTTCTCCCCCGCCCTCTCCTCCTCCCACCGCCTCCTCGCCCTCCACCCCTGATACACCTCCCACGCACTCACCCCGGCCACCCCGTACGGACTCCCCATCAACCACCACCCCCACGCCCTCCCGCCCCCCTCCCCCCTCACCTCCCCCATCACCCGCCCCACCTCCCGCTCCAGTTCCCCCCCGTCCCCATCATTCAGCACCACCTTCCCCCTCCGCGGCCCCCGGGCCCGCGTCCGCCCCACCTTCTCCCCAACCCCCATCTGGCTCCCGACCCGATCCTCCGCCTCGGTCGCGCTGAGCCCGGCGTCCCGCGCCCGCAGCCGCCGCATCTGCACCGCCGGCGAGGACACGGCCACCATGATCACGACCGACGCCCACACGTCCAGCCCGGACTCGTACAGCAGCGGCACGTCCACCACCACGGCCCAGCGTCCCCGGACGAAATGCCCCAGCACCTCCCGCGCCATCGCCAGCCGCACCAGCGGGTGCACGATGGCGTTGAGCGCGGCGCGGTCGCGGCGCTGGGCGTCGCCGTCGCCGAAGACGCGCCGGCCGAGCGCGGCCCGGTCGATGGGCCGGGTGGCGTTGGCGCCGACGCCGAGGGGGGCGCTGGGGTCGAGGGGCTGCAGCAGGTCCGGGGTCGTGGGGCCGAAGTGCGAGAGGATGAGGGTGTAGCCCCGGGTGCCGGGGAGGATGGCGCGGTGGGCGAGGGCGTCGGCGTCGATGGTGGGGAGGTGGTGGGGGGGGGAGCGGAGGAGGGTGGAGACGGTGGATTTGCCGGTGGCGAGGGAGCCGGTCAGGCCGATGAGGATCATGGTTGTGGGGAGGTGGTGTTGAGAAGGGGTGCAGGTGTAGGTGTAGGGTGTGGGATTTGGGGGGTGTAGGTTTAGTGGGGGTAGAGTTATGGTGGGAGGTTGGAGGAAAGTGTGGGGATGTGGGGGGATGGCTGCTGACTGGATTGACCAACTGGATGTTGATGATCTATGGCTGGAATATTTAAAGCATCTGCCTTTTCATTTTGACTTGTTTCTACATACAAGCATGCGAGAGTAGGACTCGCTCTTTGGAAATGAATCGCTTCTATGGGAATCTTTGAGGCTGAAATATCGAATCCACGCCAAACGCTCACACGCTCACGAATTGACCAGGCTTCTCCAGCCAGCCGTGACTTTTCCATAGACTCCCGTGTGCATGAATTGAATGACCAAGACGAATTGCTCGTGCTTTTGCGTAAAACCTCGTGCTCTCGAACTGGCCAGGCCTAGGTGGACTGCTCTTGCTCTTCCGTCCGATTGTAGACTGTCAGACTCACTGCTCGTGCGCAGGAGCCGTAGGAGCGCCATCCTGACCATCTCCCCCTCCATTGACTCCATTCTCCTCTTTGATATCCCCGTTCATCGTCTCCTCAAAGTCTTGCTCGTTCGCCAAAACCTTGACACTCTGAGGTCCCGGATCACCACCTGGAGTCTGCGCAACCACATTTCCATTCTCATCTACGAATTCGAAGTTGTATTGCGACAGTAGATGCGGAATAGCTGAGAGTTGAGGACCGTAGCGGGCGGTGTTGTCGTAGAGTTCGAAGAGAGGGACGGCGAGGAGCTTCATGTTTTTGGGGACGCTGAGGACTTCTGCATTGCACGTCACGATTAGTTGTCACTTCCACTTGCAAAGGGAGCAGAGAAAGACGTACTGCTCTTCGGCAACTGAATAAAATACAGCTTCTTGCACTCCTTCGGCCTCGTCACATGCGCCGGCAAGAACGGGTACATGAACGTCTCGAAATTCGGCCTCCACCACTGCGCAAGCGTGTCCGCAATCTGCCACTCATCATTGACCCCCTCGCCTGAAAACTGGGTCCCAGACGGTGCCAAGCGCTCGTTGAGACGCGATTTGAAGCCTTCGATTTCGTCTTCATCGGCGTGGAGGTAGTCGCCTGGTCTGCCGATAACTCACGTGTCAACGCATGCTACAAATTCGAAAGGGTCAGGCTGGGATCAAGGGTGGCTTACAATTTGAAAAACGCGTTCGCAATCTGCAGCATCAGAATGTGTGGATGGTTGTGTTCGTGGCAGACTAGGACGCCCTCGCAGGTTCGGCGCATGCCATGTCTGTCGTAGTGCTCCTCCAATCGCTTCAGACGCGCTAGGACCGAAGGATCTTCTTCCGGCTGGTGTTCTTTGGTGCCGAAGGTGTAGTTGCTGAGAGGGAAGAGGCGGATGGTGCGAGGTTGATTTGCGTTGAACGCTTTGGGAAGGACGGGCCTGTTCGTGTCATAGGGCCGTCAGAGAAGCTCGCCGAAGGGTGCAGAGGCAGCTTTGACTTACGGGTATGATGTCTGCAGCGAGGTCCCTGTCACTGTAGACATTGCGCTCTGTGTAGCTGATGGATCCCGGTGAACAAGAATGGAAGATCGCTGTGCCTTGTATGCGGCTACGTTGAAATCTTCGTAGAGTGAGTGGCGCTGGCAATCCCAGTCGCAGCTATCGGGTCCAAAGCAAAGGATGTTCCATGGGTACTGGTCCTCGTCGAGGCAATTTGCTGGGAGTAGTTTGGGAATTGGGAGGAGGGTTGCTTGGTTCTGAGTGTGATTGAGTGGTCTGCCAAGAGGACGATCCGGGTTAACCTCGCTAAAATAGGGCTTGATGAAACCTAGATGTCCAAACTCTTCCTCTTCAGGATAGCCTCTGGCTTCAAAGGTGAAATAGTACTTGTTGTTCATGATGCTGTAGTAAGCATATTTACATGCTTGAGTGTATGCATGCATGCTGTTTGTCCGGTTGTCTGCCATTGTGTCTGAAGGAGTGCATGGTAAGACGATGCAAATTCTACGACGCTTTGTGTGAGAATGAAAACATCAACGCCGAGCTGCAGACCCCAGAGTCTTGCAGTTCGATGAATCAGTACTTGTGTAGAGCGAGCTACCGACATGCTCATCGATCTTTGCGGAACAGGTTTGTGGAAAAGGTGATTTCGTTCATGCTATCGACTTCTGGCCCGAATGAAGACTGGCGACCTTCTCCCCCCTTTCCCTGCCTTTATTATTGCCAACGGCAACAATGACCCTCCCCTCCTTCCCTTCGTCAATCCACTTCAACGGCCCCATGGGTAGCGAAGCATTCGGCGGTAACCACTTCAATACCTCCCTAACCTCCGCATCAAGCTTCGGCTGCATGCCATGTTCGTACTCGAAATCTCCGCCCAATTTCTTGGCAATGTTCTGCATATCAGATTACTTCTGCAGCGTAGGCAGGACTTCCGACGACTGCAAGATGTGGAGTTTCTTGACGGTATTGGCGTCCACCCACTTTCGAAACCAGCTCCAGACAGTTGGGAAGTAGGAAGGTGCTCCGATGACCTGGTACATGCCAGTTAGTGATTTTGTTATAGTGGTGACGGACTGGAAATGGAGCGATGCAGGTGAAAAGCGTACGAGAACCTGGTCGAGAATCTCAGGATAGTTGATCCCGACCAGCCTACTAAAATCCTGCAGATACCCCCTCAGATTCCAGAACTGACGAAGCCCCATACCCGAGATGTCGACGACGCAGAGCGTCTTTGTGACTACTATGTCCGGATACTTTCTGCTGGGGACGGCAGAGCACAGCGGCATCACGAACCGAGTCAGCGTATCAAATATGGTAAAAGCACGTAACATCTCCGTCGAAACGATGCCCGGCATTTTCAAATCCGACCTCTTAACCTTCATTTTGGCCGAAGACTTTTTGAATGCTGCCATGGTCTTGGAGCCCAGCTTCACGACATCGAACATGCAAATCGGCTGGCCTTTCTTGTCCCTGCGGCCGACCCAATGGGAATACTGTGTGAAATGTTCAGTTCTCATGCTGTCTGGACGAGCGGGTGAACTTACCAAGCTTCCTGTCTCTTCATAGGCGTGGACGTCGATTTTCTCGTAGAAGGAGCAAAGCCGATTGACCTCGCGGGCAAGGGAAGCCTCCTTGAACTGTTGGGGGGCTACGGAGACGTCGCACTGTTTGGCATAGAAGAACCGTCTGGCACTCGTGTTAGCACAGTACGTTCTAGCCCAGAGAGGATAATTCTAAAACTTGGAACAAGGCACGTACAGAAGGGTAGCCTCATCATTGATTCCATCAATCCCATCATGCTCGCCAGGCCTACAGGTCTCTTCAAAAGGCCATGTGCCTCACAGAGCCTCTTGAAAGAATTGAACGCAGAGTCTTCCTGCGTCGACCGTCTTTTGATGGGCTTACCCGCTGTATCGCTTCGTATACTTGCACTGCTTTTCATACACCTTTTGCTGCTTCAAGACGGAGGTGGGCTGGGAGGTGCTGCGTCTTCGGCCTTCTTGCTTGAATACCGTCTCAGTGGGAACGATCTAGGAGACGACGATGGTTCTTTCTTCTCCGTCTCTGCCTGGTGACTGACGGCCGCCGTAGATGACGAACCTCTCCCGATTCTCGATTTGTATGCTCTTCCACCGGTGTAGATGGCGGTGTGAAACTCAAATTGAATGGCGGAATCTGCGGTGGGCCATGAGGTTTCGACTCAACCGGTTGTCGTTCGACTGGTTCCGGTTCTGGGGCTTTTGACTCATATCTGCACCTAAAAGATCGTAATATACATATCACGAAGGCTAAGATGGCGAGGTCCAGGCTCGACATATCGACAACGACTTTCATGGGATGGCTGAAGGATGAAGGTACTTCGTGAGAGACCTTGACCATGTTGAAGTTATTCATCCACCAGTACGACAAGACACACCTGGTAAACAGGCTTCTAGACAGTTAGTCCGCCTTTTCTTACCGACATTTCCCGGACATCCCACTCGACCTGGTCTTGACTGACGTGTAGACCGCACGTTTGATGGGTCCAAGGCTGCTTTGCTCGTCTGAAGAGGGGGTGAAGGCGTAGTGTCCGGATGAGAGGAACGACGACTATCTGAGACCGAGACTTGAAGGGACAGAACGAGGAAACTGCCACGTCCATGCATACATTCAGCTGGGTTCAGACGTGGCTCCGCATACTGGTGGCTTCAAGTTCAATGCACCTGTCGGCACTGCAAGCCAACCATCGCTGCCTTCCTGTTCTTCCAAACCGAGCGCAGATCGTTGTCTCCACACGGTAAGTGGCTTCAGGCAATCAACCCGTTGGCCCGGCAAGTCCGATCGTCGTGATCGTGTAAAGACCCAATTCCCCAATGCCTTCGTATGCAGGAACCTATCGCGGCTGCAGAGACGGGTGCCGCGTACATACCGTAAGCCGTGCTCGGCGGCATGACGAGCAGACGGGTGTTTCGTCTTGCCGGACAGTGATAGTATCCTGTGAAGTCACACGACGTAGAGATAGCCATGAAATGCATCCAAAACCCCCAACGCTTCCGCTCAAGCCATGCCCGTTGCCCCCTGTGAAGACGGTGTGGCTGGCTGAGCCTGCAGGTTGAGCCGAGGTGCATGATCTACCGTAGACCTTCCCGAAGTGGATATGGCACGCGAACCTCCTGCATCTTTCACCGTGACCGGTTTTTCTTCACCAGCGAGTCAGGATACGACTGACTGTCTCGTTCCACCGAAGAGGTCCATGATAGTGGACAGCGCAGCCGTTGGCACTAAGAGAGATAGAGAGACGACCGGCGGCCACAGATTTTCGATGTCGAAGAATGGTCTCGCTGTACCACAAGTTGCTAGGGAAGCCTCCCGCTTGACCAAGGAGCCTCCCAACCCTCGGCTAGCGCTGCTCCTTGAGATGATCATCATCTACTCTAGTTGTCCGAAGAGCTCCAGATACCAGAGTGTTTCAGAGAATGACAAATTACTCGCCCCAACGTGCATATGCTACAACGGACCTGGAGTATCTGCTGAGAAGAAGCTAAACCTCAAATTCCATCCTCCTCCTCCCATGGACAGTCAAGTTTTCGCTACTCTGATAAACCACTGATGTGAGTCGTGATAGTGCATCAAAATTCTCCATTTTTGGGCAAACATCGCCAATTATTAACGTAATTGAGCTTCTTCAAACTCAGTCACGCCAATGATAGCGCTCGGTATTCTCGCTCCAATATTCATTCCCACCCAGCATATACTCTAGACCCTTGAGATACAGCTTGAGAGCCGGATCAGCCCCTCCTCTACCTTCCAGCGCTTTTGCCATCATGTCTTGATGACCAATGTCCCACTCCCGACAGAGAACCCACAAAATGCGTTTGGCCGTGGCATATGATACCCCAGCATCTATAGACATTGTATTCACGATGTTCAGCAATTTCGCACCTTCCTTGTGGTCCCTGTTCCACAAACGGAGTTCTTTCTCATAACTGTGGATATCATTGACAATGATGCCGAGTTTGCCGTAGCTTTCGTGGATCCTTTCCAGTGATTTCAATGTTTTGTTGGGCACGCGCAGCTGCGAGCTGTATCGTACGCAGGCTGCGATAAAGCTTGAAATGGCTGTCATTAAGTTACTACATCAAGAGAGACAGCGAGGCAGGTACTCACGCGCAGCCACCCTCCTTGATCCGCTGTTTAAGCAAAGATCATATGTCCGGACACTCAAAGCGCACCGAGTCAACCTGGGCAGTGATGCAAACCAAGGCTTCCCGAAGCACCTGATCCGCGAGCTCTTTGTCACAAGCACGTATACTCGTCCAAACGTCGTAGGTAATCCATGCGTAAGGGTCACTGCGGTTCGGGAGCTTTTTGCCCATGGCGATCGGAATCAGCCTCTTGTAGAGCCTCTTGCCTTCTTCGAGACTCATGTCCTCTGCCACGTCTATCGAAAAGCATATGAGCCTACAGACTCTATAAATGTGACCAACGGGCAGACTTGCCATCAAGGAGGAACAGCAATGTGTTCACCTTGACCGTATCCAGAAGACGGTCATCATCAGCCATGGGAAATGCCAAACATCCCCAACGGTTGGTTTGGGAGGTGAAGAACCTGTTCCTATCCTTCTGGTGCTTGAACGGCCAATGTTTCATGAAGAAGCTATCAAGCTCGGCACAAACTGCGTCCGCTCGAGGGTGGCATTGAATATCGAAAACGGTTGGAGGCGGCTTGTTGCAAGGAACGTAAGGCACGACTTGAGGGGACCATACAAAACCCATAGTAACGATGTCAGCTAGTCGCGATGTAAAGATTTGGACAAGCGGTAGGCTGAGTATAAGTGTTCAGCCGAGAGCGGGAGTTGTGAATTGTTGGCGTCCAAGCTTCTGGCTTGTGGAACATTGGGAACTTCATGTATCTTGAGGGTTCTGCCGCGGGCACAGCACGTCCAGTGTTTTATACCTAGAGTATCCATAGCATCGGCTCTTTTGAAGTGGGTCTTCGGTAGCCGCAGAAGGCTAACTCCATGGCTTTGGTGGATCAGCAATAGAGCAGCAATCAAATTACTAGATCTCCTGCCTTAATGACCGACTCCAAAAACTGGAATTTGAAAGGCATTCCAGTGTCTGGCGACGACAGTATCCTTTCGAAGCTGACTGGTTAGTACCGACATCGGAGACCCTCGTACCGACATCAGGAAGGGCAAGAGGTATCTTGACAGGTACTATAAATGCGGGGAAAGACTTTCAGTCTAAACACGGACATTTTCTTTAATCGATCAACTGCATGCATGAAAATTTCCGATAATAGTCTGGGGATGATGCATGTGGAGGCTAAATGCGCGAGAGCGAACAGTCCCGGCGAGAAGCGGATTGTGCATAACCGGTAACCTTCTTTGGATTGTACATACTCGTCCCGCGAAGGCGCCGATCCGTCTCGTCGCAATAACACAAATGCGAACCCATCTAGATCGTGGGGTAGAGCATTTTGTGGCTTTGCAAGCCTTGTCTCGAACGGTTCCAGGATTCAGTCACCTGCTAGAAAGGGGATTGCTGATCGCTGTCCACCACTGCATGTACCATCATCAACCCAGCTCGGCCTCCAAATCAATTGGAAGTTTCCAGAATCTAAGATACGTCAAAAGTTCTGGAACACATTGCCCGGCTCGAGGTTCCCAAACTCCAAGACAGAGCTAATGTTGCGGCTTGCCACGGTGACGAGCACCATGCTCTTAGCTAAATAGGACTCCGAAGCTCAGACGAGAATGGACTCTGATTCGCAGATATGATCTGGATGGACTTGGAATCCGGAAGCCCTTTGTACTGTCTGGCATAGAATGTCGGGTGGGAGAAAGACATAGAGTGTCCCCTCCTGCCCTTCGACATCATCGATCCAATGCAACATCACCTCTCACAGCCTCTGCAACTCGTGTTCCTCATGTTAGGAGGAGTGTACCACGTACAACATGAATTCCCCAAAAACGATACAGAGGGTATTCGATATTGGCACACCAAGTGCATCAACCGCAATGGGTCTGAGAGCGGACGAGTCCACCGCAGACCAAGGAACACTTTCATCCACTGCATCCTCTCTGTCTCAAAGACCTGACACGGCAGAAGCAGAAACAGAGATGCCTCGATCGATAACACTTGAGTCAAGTGTTGAGAGCGAGGATAGTCCAGGCTGCAAGAACAGGCTAAACTTCGGAGAACGCTAGGAGAATGCACTAAGCTAGGCCTTGGCCAAGCTAAAGCTCTCCATCGGTCGAAAGTGTCGCAATTTAGGTAGGAACACAAGTTGTAAAGAATGCAAGTTTTGGCCTCGCCTGCCAGCACCAAGGTTGTTTGTATGAATATGACCTCGTCCGTCCAACCTGCTTCTCATCAATCCTCCTTCACCTCTGTCTTAGAGCCATCCGCAGCACTGTTCCCCCTTACTGGTAGAACAATCACATAAATCTCGAACCGCTTCTGCATATAAAAGATTGCCTTCTCCTTCTCAGCCGGCAGACTCTTCGCATCCCGCAAGTTCCCAACAACCTCCTACACCATTCTTGTGCGGAACACTGTCAATCTGATTGGCAAGATCAGTCCATTGGGTCCATGTCTGACCGCCAAAATGCTATTGTGCGTACGGATTGATAGCAGCTAGCGACTCGGCGTATATGCGCGAGTCTACCTTTTTCCCCAACAGGGCTCTTCTTGGCTATGTTTCAAACCTGCCTTCTCCTGCAACCGGTGGCAAAAAGGAAAAAAACCCTTGATTATCCAATCCTCCCCGTCTGAATCTTCAACTCCTAGCTTTTGCACATTTCGTATCTTTAGGACCTTGAACTCTGCGATTGCCATCCCAGAACACAGTACTATCACCTCTCGGAACGGGTTTATCAGATGCTTGGGCGACTGGCCCGCCTCACCCTTCCAGCACCACATCGGCTTCGACATGGACATCGAGGCTCTTCACATCACACTCCATCCCTCCAATACCACCTTTGAAGGTAGCATCCTCCAAGACATTGGCACAATTGGCTGGAAGCCTACTTCGGTACCCCTGATTTTTGATACTCTCCATGTTTACGATGACGTTGGCCGTGCCACCGGGTTCAAACTTCATGCGACGAGACGCCTTTTCTCGGGGTTAACTGCCAGGATGGTCGATGTAGTTGGGGGGCTGGCCAATTTTGGCTGCGAGTCGTGAGCTCACACTGCAGATGAATTGAAAGCCTCTTAAGGATCAGCGATATCCGATCGTGGGGTTTGTATCAGTAACAGATATTTGCAAAGAGGTGACTTGATGAGGTTTGATAACCTAACTTGACTACGCATCCTCGAGTTGCTCTTACCTCGAGCAACTTCCCAACCAATACCTGTACAGCATGCATCTTAACAAATGTCAAGCCCCGATTTCTAATCGCCTTGGACCTCAATGCACTTCATCGAAACATCTACGACGCGTAAAATCACGTCTTGTCTTGTTGGTCCCAATGAGAAGTTCCTAATTCGAAGAGGTCGATACACTGGATGACTTACGGAGACGTTGAACTCACAGAAGTGCGGAGGTTCAGCAGAACGGAGACGCAAGGTGTGCAAAATAAGACGGTAGATCTCCAGATTGTGGGGGCCCAAAACGTCTCGCTTATTCGGCCCAAGTCTGGCCTAGCTCGGCTTCAAGATCTTCAAACAGTTTTCCCCTGAAATTCCCCGTTTTCCGTCGATACAACATATTCAGACCTCCAGTCTGCAAGGATGGCGACCGGACTCGAGGCTGTCGGGGCTGCATCAACGCTCGTGAGTATCATTGGCTTCTCTTTTCAGATCTTCGATGGATGCGTCAAAGGCTTCGTTCTGCTCTCGACGGCCGGCAACCTGGGGCGGGATGCAGACATTTTTCGCTCTATGCTGGACTGGGAGCAATTTAGACTTGAGCAGTGGGCAGAAAAGGTCAACCTACAGGATCCATCCCAGGCGGACATGCTTATGGATTGGAAGCTCGTTGCAGATACCTTGCAGCATCTTGAGAATCTTACCAACGACACTAGATTGTTGAAGGAGAAGTATAAGCTTGTGCTGTTGGAGAAAGCTCCGCCACTGATGAAAGCGACCGCTGTCCTGGATGATGAAAAAACTTCGACTAGCCGCTTCAAGAGATTGTTCGGCCAAGGCGAGAAGTACTCCTCTACTGCTGCAGCCAAGGTCATCCAAGCAAAAAACAGTTACCCAAAAAAGCTCTGGTGGGCCGCGGTGGACAAGCAGAGCATGAAGCGTCTTATCGATGATATTGCGCATTTTGTACAGCGCCTGCATGATCTACTGAACTCTTCCATTCAATCTCAGATGAAGCAATCCGTTGATACATTGCTACACGATGCGACTCAAAGATACCAGAACGTACCCGACCTTGAGTTTCTACGAGAATTGGCGGCTCGTATGAGGCCAACGGGACCGGACTACGGGCAAGCTGACGAAGACGATATCAACGCTGAGATCGACAAAAAGTTCAGAAACTTGCTTTTCCATTCCATCCGAAAGGGCGACACCGAAGAAGTGGAGCTCTTATTAGATAAGGGAGTTGATGTGCATGCGGATGATAATGTCGGATGGCCGCCGATGGTGCGAGCTGCGGAACACGGCCAATTAGCCATTGTCGAGATCCTACTTGAGAGGGGAGCCAATCCTCTGAAGGGTACCGTGGGTGACAGATTACCACTGCACTTCGCAGCAGAGGGCGGGCATTTAGCCGTTGTCAGACTGCTGTTGAAGCAGCCGAGCGTCGACCCAAATCTGAAGGACTACACGGGGCAAACGGCCATATTCAAAGCTGCCAACAACGGTCACCACGCAGTCGTGGAGCTTTTGCTACAGCAGAAAGATATTGACCCAGACGCGGTATCGAAAGATGGTTTCACGCCTCTATTGCAAACAATCTTTGGAAGGCACCAAAAGGTGGTGAGACTCCTGCTTGACAGGGCAGATGTTAACCCTAATCAATGCGATACGACCTACAAGCAGACCCCACTGTGGATGGCGTCTACCGCCGGAGATGAAATACTTCAAATGTTCCTTGAGAGGAAGGATATCGAGATCAATGGCCAGAGTCGGTGGGGTGAGACACCCTTGTATCAGGCCCTTCAACGCAAGCGCCTTTCAGCCGCGAAGATGCTTCTGGATGCTGGGGCAGATCCCAACGTACCTACAGATGAGAAGAAGACCGTACTCTCATGGGCTGCAGCTGAAGGTAGCGAAGAGTCCATCGGATTGCTCCTCAAACAGCCTAGCATTGAAGTTGACGTCGCAGATAAGTCCGGCCAGACACCTCTACTGCGAGCAGCTGACGCTGGCCATACCAAGTGTGTCAGGATACTGCTTGACAAAGGTGCCAATTTGAAGCACGCAGACAATGAGGGAAGGACTGCGCTGGCTCTAGCTGCAATCAAAGGCCACAAGGTCGTCGCAAAGCTCTTGCTCAAGAACAGTGCGGAGATCAACGCGCAAGATAGGATGGGAAACACACCACTCGCGTTGGCTGCAGAGAAGAATCACGACGCAGTCGTCAGGTTTTTGCTGGAGAGTGGCGCTGACGCGGACCTTCCTGATGAGGACGAGGAAACACCGTTTGAAAAGGCGCGAGATCGCCATATGAATCAAATCGTGGAAGTCTTCAAAGAGATTTTGAAGCTTTGAGTGGTATCTACGCACTCCTTCGCTCCTTCCTTAATTGCTCCGATCACGCGGCCAACGTAAACCCTCAATCTACCGCCAAACAGGTTTCCACCATCAAACCCTCCTCTCCGACCACAGCAGACCCATCAGCAGGCATCGACCGCCCATCGGCTCCTCATATATCGGCTTGCGGCGCAAGAAACCCTGACACTCCCAATGATTCCCAAACATGACTCCATCACCAGCCTTGCAGCAAATCATCGACTTCAAACGCCTCCTCTCAGACAGGGTCCTTTCTCTGGAACTGCGCACGCGTGGTATCCGTCCCACAGGCTCGCGCACCGATATATACAACAGGCTCATCGACGAGTAGCGCACAGACGAGCTTCTGGGATGGGACGTGAGTCTCTTCCGCAGCGTCAAGGTCCTCCCATCCAGCGGGACACCCGCTATGTTCAAGATGCCCGTCGGATGCTGCCTCTTATCGATCACGCAGTGGTCGGATACGAAAAATCGTCATCAAGTTCCGCGACCCGGATCCCAGGCGTCGAACGCAGACCTTCTCGAGGGTCGTGCCGGGGGCGAGGGTGTTGATGGATGAGGAATTTGCGAGGAGACTGCATGTTTCCGCGCCGGTTTTTCCCCTCGTATCGATGTTTCCGTCCTTCGTGGTGCATTCTCAGAAATCTGTTGTCGACTCGGTCTTGGCTCGAGGTAGGGTCGCATTGAGCTTCGTGATGCTTGGTCTCAAATTGGAGAGTATGGACGCAATGGATTTCATCTCCATTTACCTTATAGAAGGGGACAAGGCTACGACTTCGACTGGGAATCCCTACCTGGATGGTCTGGACCTGGCCCTTTAGCGGGGTTATCTGTTGACAACGTCGCGGCGTGAAAGACGGACACTGGAGCTGGGCGTATGAATCCTTGGCAAATTATTATCGGAAGCCTTTTTAGGCAGTATCTCTTGTATGGTGATGGCGTGAGGGAGGTCGAGCCTCTCTGGCGATAGATCCAGGATCACACTTTTCTCTTAACGTCTTTGTGTTCAAGACCAGGAATGCAGAGGTCAGGCACCGTATGTTATCATCGTTTCACCGTAGCTGGTTCTTCTCGATGCTGCCCGCCCAGTTTCCTATCTTTAATCCTCCTTCGCTTCACCTCGACTCCTTTCCAATGTTTTTATCGCAGTTCAACCCCACTCCACTCACTTCATTTCACTTCATCCCACCCTCCTCCACCCATCTCCACATCACCAATCCCTTCCCCTCAAACCCAGCCCCTCGTCCCCAACCCAATCCACCAACAAAAGCTCGTCCGTCAAATCACCCCGAGGTTTCAAAAAAGACCACATAGTTATCCGCGCTCGTCGTACAGCCTTCGCTCCAATAGACCAACTCCCCACATCCACACTACACCCTCTCCACCCACCCGGTCATGAGAAAAATCCCACAGTTCCAACCTCGCATTCCTCATTCGCCGCCTCGTGCTTGCCCCTGCGCGATCGCCCAGTTTTATCGACTCACTCACTCACTCACCCTCTCCCTTACGTACGTACGTACAACCTTCACACTCGCCAGATAGGTAGACGATCCTATCATTACGAAACCTCACCACCACCACCAGCCGATCGCGTCACGCGGGGTTTGGCGGGGCGGAGCGGATACGAGGTTGATCGGTACCGTTTGATGTAATGGCCGTGGCTTGGGTGGGCGGTTGGAGGGTGGTTATGTTTTAGAAGATGGTATCATAGGACGCAGTGAATGAATGAAGAAACGAATGACGATCATGCGCCCTGATCCGATGGCGCAGATGGGTTGGATTGTTTGGTTCGTTGTCTGCGGGTGATGATCTCAACTACTTCAACTCCTACAGTAGTAGTGGTCAAAAAGAATCTCATCCCGCTTCTTCTACATACATACATGCACATCAAGCGGTAATGATGCTAATATACATAACATATACATAACATACTCTACTCTACCTCTACTCTACTCTACTCTACTCTACTCTACTCTACTCTACTCTACTCTACTCTACTTTAATCTACTCTACTCTACTCTACCCTACTCTACTTACGCAAAAAAAAAAAGGGAAAAACAAAACAAAACAAAACAAGCCGCCGCCCCCCCCCCTCTACACCCTCTCCACAAGACCCATCAAGACGAAGCAAGCAGCGCCTATCCATCCATCCATCCATCCATCCATCCATCCCGACCTTCCCCCCCCCGGCACGAAAAACCGCCGACATCCCTCCCCAACACGACCCGACCCGACAACCAACCAACCAACCAACCAACCAACCAAAACCGACCAACGATCCGACACCGGGGGCCGAGCGTAGGGCTTCGGGGTCAGGCGAGATGATTGGTGGTGCACGATGGTGGCATTTTTGCGCTTTGGGGGTATGGTAGGCTTGGTTGATTGGTCCGGGATGGGGATGGATGGATGGATGGATGGATGGATGGATGGATGAGGAAGTCGATGAAGGAAGAAGACGGGAGAAGGAGAAGGAGAAGGAGAAGGAGAAGGAGAAGGAGAAGGAGAAGGGAAGGAGAAGGAGAAGGAGAAGGAGAAGGAGAAGGAGAAGGGAGAAGGAGAAGGAGGAGAAGGAGAAGGAGAAGGAGAAGGAGAAGGAGAAGGAGAAGGAGAAAGAAGAAGAAGAAGAAGAAGAAGAAGAAGAAGAAGTCTTCGAGGGATGGGGCGGTTGATGGGCGAGGCCGGAGTGCAGCGCGTTGGGCGCGGGATAATGGGGTGGGTCGTGGTGGGAGAGCTTGAGATTTGGAGGGCTGCAGGTGCGGGAGAGTGGTCTAAACGACTTTCTTTGACTGATGGAGCGGTCGAAGATAGGGCGCAGAGTTCATGTAGCGAGGATTGACGCATCGATAAAGCTCAGAACTAGCGGGCGCACAAGCACTGGGAGATCCTTCAAGGTCCTGCGGATCGATCAGCTGAAGCTTTTGGGGGCAGACCAGACATTGCTCACCGTACCTTTCCACGATCAATCCTTAGGCGTTGCTGGCCCACTTTTCATGACAGCACCTCATCCAATACCTTTACGTACCTCTCTATTTCTTCCTCTACACCCGTCATCAGCTTCTGCCTCCTTCACATGCATCACCCTACAGGGAGACTTACCAGTGTTATAATGCACCATACTGACCCGTACGACCCCATCACAACCTCCCAGCCCCAGCAGATCATCCACCATCCTCTTACTATAAAAGTGCCCCCACCTGCACCCAAAGTTTGACTTGCTCTCAATGCCATCCACAATATCCTTCGAGCTCCTGCCGTTGACCGTAAAGCTCACAACTGGCACCCTTAACTCCTTATCCGCAGATTTCTCGCCGTGTATTGTCACATCATCCCTGCTTCGCAGGTATCTCAGAAGTATGCCCTGTAGCTTCTCCTCGTGTGCGGCGATGGCGGCCCATGTTGCGGACTTATCGGGCCCGAAGTAGGAGACGATTGAAGGAAGTGCAGCTACGAGTTCGTAGCTGGCGGACGCAAGGCCGATTTTCGTTTCGATATTGGTGCCAGTGTGGAAGTAGTGGCCTAGTGAACCCAGGTTGCGCTGAGCGTCGCGGGATGCATATAGGATGGCGATGTGTGGACCGTAGACCTGGTGTAGAGTCAGCATCAAGGCCACCAAAGACGGTTCGACAGCTAGGTTGGGTGTAATGCGCACTTTGTACCACGAGAAAGCGTAGAAGTCCACGCCCAAAGCTTTGACGTCAACCTCTCTGTGTGGCGCCAACGCCACTCCATCCACACATAACTTCGCGCCAGGAATCATATGTACCGTCTGCGCAATCTCCTTCACGTCGTGTATCGTCCCCAGCACATTACTCGCATGCGTGCATGTGACCAGCGCGGTCTTCTCCGACAAAAGCGGTTTTAGGTTCTCGGACGTGAGGATTGGGGAGGGGGACGCGTGAGTCGGAGAAGCGGGGGCGGCTGGCCACCATTTGATTGTATGGTTGTATAACTTAGCGAGGCGTACCCAGGGGGAGATGTTGGCTTCGTGGTCGAGGGAGGAGATGATGATTTCGGAGCCGGGTGGGAGATTGAGGATGAGGGAGAGGTTGGAGAAGAGCTGGGTTGTTGACGGGCCGATCACTGCAACGGAGATGGCGTCAGTGACTGAAAGTAGTAAACCATTTGGGCATCAGCGGTACCAATCTCATCGCTCGCAGCGCCTATAAACCCCGCCGCGGCCTCCAATCCCCTCCCATAGCTCTCGGTGCTCTGCTTCGCAACGTCATAGCTCGCGCCAAGTTGAACGTTGGTCTCTTCGAGATAGTCTTTCACCCTGCATACGGATATCAGTTCTTCCAAGCAAGCCGAGCAGTAGTAGCTCGGATGTCATGGCATTGGTGATCTAAGTCGTACAGCAGAGGTGGATCAATCGTACGATGATGCGACTGTGCCTAGAGCTTGGCTGCCTCCGGCGTTGTCGAAATATATTTGGTGGGATTGCTGGAGGGCGGGGAACTTGGCGCGGGCGGTGGTGGGGGAGAAGGACGCCATGATTGGGAAATCAAAGGTGGTGGAGGAAGGATAGGAAGGATTGAGATTCGTCACTTTTTTTTGGTTGCAGCCCAGCCCTACGAGTAGAGTAGAGTAGTCCTAAACTAGTCTAAGCTAAGACTGTGGATTCGCTTTCTTGGATTTCCCTATCATTGGGAGAGCTCATTCTCACAGAAAGATTTATTTGTTTATTTAAGAGCACACGAACAGAATGCAACTTCAGTGTTTCTACCGCTTTCGACGGTAGAATAAACCATCTAGTGCACTACAAATTGGGCTATCGGTATCTCGGAATTGGGAAAGCTCTTCGAACTCCGATGGACTCCGGACACGGTCCGCGAGGGTAGCGGCGAGCGTGGATCCGGTTCTTCCTAGGGATCAGGCGCTGGATCTAAGCATGACATGACGGGAAGTCAGGAGGTTGAGAAAGCCGAGATTCATGGAAATGGGGTGGTGCTTGGGAACGGAGACGGTTAAGTCAAGATTCAACACTAGGTACAAGTGCAGTTGAGATTCAACAGAAGGCCGTGTAATGTCGTCTTGCTAAACGCACGTAGATATCATAACGCTGGGACAGATGCTATTTCGAGGTCATTCCTTCGAATACGAACCGTTGGTCTCTGTTTCGGTCTTTGATCTTGAACGTTCAATCGTCAAGCGTACCTATGCCGCCTTGGGCTTCTGGCCGTAGGCAACGTGGCTGAAGTCCGCCCTTGTCAGCGATCTATTTCCACGGCTAAAGAAGGAATGATCTCACAAGTCGAGCTGTGCGTGGATCCTTGGATCTCGCAGATCCTTTCGCACATTGGCAAGCAGCACCTGCACCTCCTCAGGCTTCCAGCCTAGGAATTGCGTGAACAGCCTTAAAGTAAATCCCTCTATGCCGGCTTCAATCTGTGCTAGATTCCAGGCGCCAACCGTTTTCTGGTCTTGCGTCAGCAACGTTCAACTTACAGGGCATAGTTGTCGACATTATCACGAGCAGAGCATACCAGATGCTTATCTTTCGCCCACGGTCCAATAGGCAGGCGAAATTTCTCATTTTGAACACCCGCAAAACCTGCATCTTTCATCCACCCTTCCAGTTTCGAGCCCGGACAAGCATCTCTGCCGAACCCATTCGCTGCGTTGATCAACGTAGTGATCCACTTGGAGACATCGTGTTCTTCCTTCAGGGACCCATCTTCCGAATAGTAGGTAACGTCAAAGTCCTGGAACTCGGCCCATCCGCCGGGCTTGGTATGTTCGAGAGCTTGGCGCATCAATTTCGGCCAATCTGCAATGGCTGCCACCAGATAGCGCACATGTACAAAATCAAACTTTTCTTGGAAGGTCCAAGGCTCTTCCGCGTCGTCGATTTCGAACTTGACATTTGCGGGGACCCTTATACGTTAGCTTCCGTGACACAAGGCTGATGCTGACATGTGCTGTACCAGGAAGGTTGAGTGGGGCTCAAGTCAGTACCGATAATCTCCGCACTTGGATAGTCGTCACCCATCTCGATGGCCCAGATACCTGTTCCGGTTCCAATGTCAAGCATCTTTTCAGGTTTCTCGCCAATGGGTGCAAAATGGAGCTTGTTGCCCATTGTTATGCGTAACATTTGGTGTGTAAGGTCGAGGCGATCCAATTCGCTCTTCAAAGTGCGTTAGCGGGTAGTGTGCCTGCGCAGGAAGTTGGCATACTTCATCGTTCGGCAGCACGTAATCTAAGAATCATAGAATAAGCGTGTGTACTCTCTAAGCAACACGGAGAGAACTCACTGCCGTCTTTAAAGCTTCACGTCGGTTACGGTCAGCCTTGCCCCCGAAGTAATTGGACCACATACGCATGGTATCTGTGGAATCATGGTCCTTAGTGACTGTTTCCTCAGACCATGGATTACATGGCTGGGGCTTTTACCTGCGACCGTTTTCTACAGGATATCTCTCGATACTACTGGTCATTGATGCAGTGTACTTGGATCTGCATGATGCGCAGTCAGATGACTTGAGATTCCAAGGACATGGCCAAAAGCGTACACATCATCTCCAAGGCTGGAATCAGACGCATCGTAGAGCTTGAGCATGCATCAGCCATGTGTTGCATTCGGCCGTGTCCCGAGAGGATGCTCACATCAGGATCTGCCTCGATGATGTTGTCTCTCGCAGGAGCTGTTTGTGGATTGGCAGTCATTGCGTCTGTCGCTTCCGGGCACAGCAGTCAGACCGCCGCGGAGGCAATGCTATCTATCACAGGGGCGTTGAGAGGTACGACGGTGGATGATGGAGCAGGTTTTTCAAGTCAGGACATGGAGCAGTAAGCAGCCAGCACGTGGGGCCCGAGCATTGGCTATATAGTCGGCACGAGAAGTGCAGTCTGACATGCGGGTTCGTCTGCACGAGGGCCGATTTTTGGAGTCTGATTCGACAGGCTGCACCAACACGAGGGATCAAGGTTATCTAAGCGCAGACTTTAACTTGATCAGACAGCGGAACACGACAGCCATTACATAAGTATAATGTATACTCTACTACTTCACTAAGGCGTCAGCAACATTTTTTGAAGGAAAGAAGATTGATGGGGAGGGTAAGTGAATCAGACATCCTGAGGTGGGGGATTTTATGAATTCAAGACAAGACTTTGCAGGTGGGGGTCATCTCACTCATCGCTCATCAGAGCAGATTCACTTCAGAGTTCAGGTGACCAGGGTCGGCATTATGATCGCTCAGCGGCCCAATGGGCCGATAGGCGCTTAATCTCCGTGGCGTTTCTAGCCGCATATGAAAAGCATAACTGGCTGCTATTTGACATACTTTACTTTACTTTACGCTTATTCAGAAGCACCCGATGAGTACTAAAGTAAAGTAAATACTGAAGTACCTACTTGTGCTTTACTTTAGAGATGCAGGGCAGTGGACTCGCGTGAGGATGAGCGTCGGCGGTATGTGCACTTCGCTTTTCAGACACGCGAGGTTTGGAAGAAGATGACGGCGTAGATCGATCAACCAAGCTTGTTTGACATGTGTTATTAGTATGCACGGTATATGTTGATGTGGTCGACTCGGTGTGAGTAGAAGCTCTGGGCTTGAACCAAGCGATAGGATGATAGAAGGAATGAAGAAATAAAGCTAAAAGTGCTGGATGCTTCTTTGCGTCCTCTCCAATTCTGCCAAGACGCTAAGAGGCTCGGCTTTTC